GGGGGGCGGCGCGGGCATAAAGAGGTAGATGGTGAGGGAAGGAAGACTTGGGTAGCAGTACATCTGATGCAAAATCTTCTTGCCTTCTTCGTCTAATACACCTCCCTCAGCTTCGGCTTGAACCATCGCGGCGCTGAACTCCGCTGTGAATGTCTCGGCCACTTGCATGGGCTCGCTAATGCCCGTGCTTTCGATCACGACGTACTCGACCTCTTTCAGGGTGGTCAGGCGCGCGAGCTCGGAGAGGAGATCACCACGGAGTGTGCAGCAGATGCAGCCATTTTGGAGCTGGATCAGGGACTCTTTAGTGTGGGAGACGGTGTGGTGTGTGATAAGGGTGGCGTCGATGTTGAGGCTGGATGGATCTCTCGTTAGTAGAGCCCTGAGTGAGCGTCTCAAGGGAGACTCGCCTGCTCATGTCATTGACAATTACGGCAATGCGAAGGCCATGGTCAGATGACTGGAGAATATGCTCGAGGAGTGTGGTCTTTCCACTGCCCTGTTTGTGAGTTAGTCTCTATAGCTTGACGAGATTCTTACGCTGAATGCTGAATGACGAACCAGGAACCCAGAGAGGAGAGTCACAGGAAGTGGCTTACTGCTCTCCTTATCCAGTGTGATGTTGATATCCTTGATATCTGGCTTAGATGAGGCATCCGCCTTGATCTCACCCGCCTTGTAGGATAGAGTCTCCCGTCCCGAGTCAATGACCATTTTCTTTCGGCTGCGCAAAGGCTCGTTACTAGAGAAAGAATTGGCACGACTCACCAGATTTCCATCAAATATCTCTACTGTACACTTCTATACTTATAGATGCAAGCTACCAAGGTGCTCTCATGATTGCAATTTATCATCATTGTTCTGATTGGTGACGGCCGCTCCCAAGGTCCTTGCTTGCAAGGTCCCGTTGCGTATACCTACAAGGTACTCGACACGCCAGAAATGAAATCAGTTATGCTTGATAGGTCACACTAACAATGAAACTATCGCTTGGTCGAGGTTGAGTTGGTTTCATCCACACAGTCCACTCCAATGCCCCCCGTAATGCCCGAGCAGATAATCTCCGCCGGGCTGCCCGCCGGACTCGTCAGCGAGACATCCTGCAGGGTGACATTCGTGCAGACAGCGGCAGGCGAGCACGTTAGATCAGCAACCACTAGACCTTCCTTTCCTGAGGAGGTACCCCAGATGTTCTCAAAAAGGATGTTCGTGATATTGACAGAAGACGGGTACTGGGCGCACTCTGTGGCATTGATGTCGAAGTAGCACTGGTCCAGCACTACTGGGTTGTCGGTGTTCTGAATCTGGATGTTCTTGTAGGTAATGTTGTTGATGCGACCGTATCCCACATCTGGTCCAGCCCAGGCCTTGAGTCGAGCGCCGTTCTATGTTTATTAGCCTCGATCAACAAGACAATTGCCTAGTTGCACCTACCTGGCCATTCAGCAGCGTCACGTTCTCAATCCAGGCGTTTTCAATGATGTCCAGTTCTCCTGGGTATTGTCCGATACTGCCCATACTCACACCGTGCGTATTGTTGCACCACAGGTTCTGGACAAAGATATTGGTAGTGTTGGGTTTGGGCGAGAAGCAATCATCGCCAATATCGACGCGGGTGTTGGTGACTGTCAGGCCATCGACGTTGTACGAATCAAATCCGTCGGTGTTTTTCGGGAGAGCCTATGCTATTAGCCAGCTTTCGGGGCTTGACGCGCTTTGACATACCGAAGCGTTGGTCGAAAAAGCATGGATATACACATCATCAAAGGAGATGTCCTTGGTGTTGACGAAAAAGTTGGTCCAGCATGGCGAATTCAACTGTGTGATACCCTCCACGGATACACGTGTCGCGTTGTCGGTCAGGAACAGAATCGGCCGGTAGAAGGTGTTGGAGGAGTCCTGCCTTGTCAGCCCTAAACATTGAGCTTCTGCAAGAGGTGAAAAAACCTACCAAGATCTCGAGTCCAGCAAACGCATTGTACCAAGCCTGTCCGTTGCCGTTCAACGTGCCACTGCCGAAGATCTTGATATCGTTTCCACCCCAGCGCCAGAATGTGATTGACTTTTGGAAGTCATAGTAGTAGTTGTTTGCTTGCCAGTAGGTGATGTTGTTCGTGAACTACAACCATCTGGGTCAGCTATCTTGCCGCCTCAGGGTTGCCTCTGAGCATTTGATAACATACCTTCAGTTCACCCTCCAGCTGCACTTCAATATTGTCCAAGAATGTCAGATCCAACTTCTTTCCAATCACATACTTCTTGCCCTTCTCGAGCAGCAGCCGTCCGCCGTGGTTGGCCTGTTTGATTCCCCAAAGGAAATCACTCGAGATATCGTCGTAGTCGTTCTTGGATGGACGGATTGTCACAGTCTTGCGGTTCGGGTACTTCGAAGAATGCGCTCCCACACTTCTCAAGCCAGCTGCATCAGAGACTGGTATGATCTTGGCTCCATTGGGGGTTCCGCCCACGGCAGCGGCGTTCACGGCAATAGGCACGGCGCCCAGGAGAAGCGCAGCAATTGAAACGAGCTTCATGATTGACTTGTCACTTGCAATTGAGCTTGTACTACTCAACCTTTTCTCGAGCGACCGTCCCAGTCTGGTTATTTATGCCTGTCCTTGACATCAGGATCTATGTTTACCCGCATGCATCAGCCCCTCCCCAGATTCCCCTCCGCTGGGAAAAGAAGTCTGGGGAAATCTTTCCGGGGCATAGCTCGATTTCTCCACCTGTAGGAGTTGCCCTGAAGAGTTAACTTGACTGATGTCATGGCTAGGCATCTTGGCTCTTTTTTTGACAGCTCCGTACCAAGATTTCGGAATGGACTGGTCCTGGGGTAATTTCCCCGGATCGTTGCTCGGTCTTGGGAGGATCTTCCACCAATGGATGAAACGGTTAATGACTGAGCCTGCAGGTCGCGATATGACTTTGTATCAATCTAATGGAAACGGTCCAGGTTAATATGCAGACTTGGCTCGTTGAACTAGAGTCATCAGCACGGGTTGATGATGCGGTGAGAGGCTGGTCGATTACGAGAAGGATATTAAGCCAAGGTGGACAATCAACAGAAGTGTATTGACTCAGTGCCAACAAGTCCAACCCTTCCGCGCAAAAGCAATGTGGTAACGACTTATAGAAGGAGGAGTTAGATCCGGGGTTAATCCCCGATATCGCTCTCTTTCAAGTTTCCGCTCATGCCTCCAGAATTAGAACTACGCGATGGATTTCCGAGCACAAAAAACCATGCACTCGATCAGTGACTAATTATGAATTGAAGATGGTCGGTACCAGAAATCGGATAACAGACACGCAAGACTCGCCTACCTTTACCGAACCCATCAAACGAAGAGTTTTTCTCCTGAAAGATCCCCCTGAAAGATCGTCGCGACCCTCAGATTTCCCCAACCCCTCAACCTCGGCAACCCCCGCAGATCTGGCGTACCCAACCTCCCCCACTTTCATCGGAAACATGAACCTGTACTATTTCTCTTACTTTTGTTATTAGTATTCAAATGGCCAACAAGGCCTAAATTTGAATCCATTCCACCCGCGAAGCTTACCCAAAGGAGCTTGTTCAGCTCAAGAAGAGGAAGACAATCATAGCCTCTTCCCGGCCAACATCAACGCCGTAAGGCAACTCACGTTGCCCAACCACCACAGCAGCGAGGGCACGAAGCTCAGTTGTTCCGATTCAATCGCCACGGCCGCGGTTGCATATGCCACTCGCATCACTGAGAACCACAACCCAATCCAGTTGATTATCTCGGTCGGGACACCTGCGTGAAGGGCGAGAAGGACTATTCAGCCCACCCCCTCGGGAAGAAGGATTCCAAGAATTAGCATTTCTCGCTTCCCGGAGGATGATTGATAGAGACAAACAGCGTACCCCCGGCGATAAATAGCGGAAACCCCTCGATGACATTCTCGTAGGCAGCTTCCCGCCGTTTGAGTCGGTTCATTTGGCCTCGGGTGATCTTGCCGGCTTGCACGGCTGCTTCGCCGTATTTGAGCAGATTCTCGCGTGGAGCATTGTTGTGATCTTGCCCGAGTCGTCGTATGGCTGCTTGGGGGTTGAATATTCCGTGGGCGAGGAACCAGTTGCCGATGATATAACCTGCTGCGTAGTTGGGGGTGGGTGAGGAGGGATTAGCGCGGAGGCCGAGCGTGGTTAGAAGGGTTCTGCGAGGTCGTGAGTACAGTATAGAGATAATAGCATTTGCAACAAGCCTTGAGACACGGCTCACGTAGTGGCTGGATGGTCGGACATCATGTGTCTTCTGCCGCTATGCCGATTGTATTATTGGGGAAGAATCAAAGAATCAAGGCGTTCTAGTTGCTGAGCTGATGGTATATATGGGGATGACAACCCGCGAGGCGCTGAGGCTGAGCCTATGATCTACATAGGCTGTACAACTGCATGACATCTTGGCTGAAGGCTCTGCACCAGAGAATTGGTGTGTGTGAACTGTACTTGTATGCAACCAACAGGTGGCGTGGAGTGATGCGGTTCTATTGGCCTCGATCTTGGCCTTGATCTTGGCCTCCTAATTTTTTCTGAATTGCTGTAGAACGGCTTCTGTTCTGACCTATACCCAACATCAACGAAACAGAGACAGGAACCAGAAGACTTCAAAGGTTAGGTCCTTGTATTGCTGACTACAGCTTGTGATTTGCTATAGCAGTTCTATGCTGAGGCCTCATGACGTCATTTTGGCTCAGATGATTGCTGACTGCATTCAGGCAATGCATTCAGGCAACAAGGGTTGAAAAGATCATCGCGAAGGACTTTTGACGCTTTCTTGCCACTCCTCATCTACGAACAAATTGACGACCTCTTGTATGAGTCGATAAAGCGCCAGGCAGTACGCAGTACAGTAGTACTCACAGACATCATCAAACACCGCTTGGCTTATCCTGGCAAGCGCGCTTATCAGAACCACCTTGATATCTCCTGTCAAACGTAGGACAAGATGCTATCTTAGCTTGTGGAACTAGCATGTCCATGTACATAGCATATTTGCAAGTAGGTTAAGAAAGTTTGTATTTAAGTACTTTTACTTTGAGAGAATGCACTTTACTCAGAGCCGCCACCCAACCCTTTACCAACAAGGCCATGATATTCCGGTTTCCGGGGTCGACCGACCGCCACATCGCTATATCTAGCCATAACGTTTTTATGTATGGGTACCGTGGGCCAGATTTCCAAATTCACAGACAATTTACAGAAAGAACTTGAAAGGGTCCCAGCGAGAATCGCGTCCCCATGACCCACCCCCCCCCCGCTTTTCATGCCAGTTGGGTCAATGTAGAACTCGACCAGCGTCTAAAGTCCGAGACAAGGCTGCGATTATTAATAACCAAGCGGAGCATCGCGGATCCTCAGCCGCACTCACCACCAGCCAGCCTGCATTGCGGCCATACCGATAAGATATTATCTGAACTCCAGTTGTGTTGCGCTGCGCTGCCACGGCGATGCGATGCGATGCGATGTGATGTGCACTAGACTAATAATCTTATACACCGTGTTCCTTTTTTTCTTGATGTTGTTGGAATTTAGATTATCTCTTCAGCAAAAAAGGTCCTTGTTAAATTACCCTGTGAACATAGCTTTGCTGACAGAGATCCAGTCCCCCCCCCCCCTTGTACAGTCAAGATGTTCACATTACCATTGCTGGTGATGACCCTGTTTCTGCAGGTCAAATTCCCCGTGATCCCCGGTTTAAAGCCCGCACTCTACGGGGCTCTGGTTCTGAGTGCGCTGCATGCCATCTTTGTCCCCCTCAAGAGCCACGGAGACTTTGTGACATACACCAATGCCTTCATGAGCGTGTCGTTCATCATCCGCGCCGTAGAGCTGCTGATCCTGCAGGACCTCGATGAACTGGAACATCTGGAAAAGGTCTCGCATGTGTCCTCGTCCATCCTGTACTCCTGGGAGCCCCTGCCGCGAGCCCTAGGCTTCCGCCGGTTCCTGCGCGTCTGCGATCTGATCGCCAACCCGCGCGCCATCGGCTGGAATCACGGCTCCACCAAGTATCTCCCGCCGCTGCGGCCCGTGGAAGGCGAGGCGGGCGGCCATCACTGTGTGCCGGAGCATAGGAACATGGTCGTTGTGGCGGTGGGAGACCGCAGCAGTTTTCTCCGCGCCCATCTCTGGACCGTCCTCCTCGCGTACCTGGCCATGGACACCTACCAGGCCGCGTTCGCGCGCAATTACCCGCGGCTTTGCGACGGCGTCGACGGCTTTCTGAACGGGGTGCTGGGCTGGCATGTCTCCCCCGCGACCAGCGAGATGGTCGTGCGGAGGTATCTGCTGTCCCCCGGCTGTTGGATCGCCGCTTATGCCTTCGTCGATGGGATTCATTCCGCCGTCGGGGTCTTTTCCGTGGGCTTGGTCAGGGTCTTCACCTCCAAGCATGCGGGAGAGCCTTGGATGTATCCACCGGTCTTTGGATCCGTCCGGCATTTGCTCGCGTTCAATTTGCGTGGTATGATAACACTTCTTCTTCTTCGCCCTCGGATTAAGATTTTGGCTGACTAGAGATCGATTTGTTGTCTTCGATCAAGATATCTGGGGCAAAATGTGGCATGACCTCTGTCGCAATCCCTTCTTGGCGCTTTCCCGCGCGGCCATCATGCCTGTGAAACCGATCCCAATGGGCCTGCAGCGCTTCCTGGTGATCTCGTTAACGTTCTTTGTGTCCGGTGTCGTGCATGTGGCCGGAACGTACGCAGTATCTCAGGACGTCTTCGCAGTCAGTATGATGATGACCTTCTTTTGCATCTTGCCGCTCTGCATCGCCGCGCAACATCTCCTCTCCGATCGCTTTCTTCCGCTGTTTCTCCCTCAAAATGTGTTCTCCCGGTTGGCGATCTGGCTGGTCAATATGGCCTTTGTCATGGGATGGGCCCACATCACCAGCCCGTGGTTTCTCGATCATAGCAAGCTGCCCGAGGCTATCGGATCGGTGCCGCTTCCGGTCAGTGTGTGGAAGCTGGCAGCTGATGTTTAGGATCCTACTATGTCATCAAGTCACACAGGTTATGATTTTTGCAGTTGACTTACACACGCAACGGACGCTCCTCGATATTTAAGAACTGATATTAGATCAATAAAGATATTGTATCACCACTATGGACTTTTGTTTCTAGCCTCCGTGCCTAGGATGTTTGTAGTTGTTATCAATCGTTCAATAGGGCATTCCCACCTAGAACCCGTACACTTCACCTACTGCAGGACACGCTCTGAAGCAGTCTTGCTAGACGGAACAGCTTATACTGAAAGATTGTAGGAGAGATACTTTCGTACAAATGACCCATACGGTATCAATCGTACCAAGAAGAAATACTGGGTCCACTGGATCCCTTCCAACACTCGTCTCCTTATTCGTCATCGGTGGCCAGTTCAAAGTTCTCCGTGTTGATACATTTCCCACCCATCGCACTCGACCTCGAGCTCAAAATCGACATCATTGACAATGGTATCCAAAATTGCGCAACCGACTCTATACTGCTCTCGAAACCAATCATCATCCTCAAGATCGTTGAAGGCGTACGCGCCAGGGATACCGAGCAAGCCGCTCGCAGGAGGGAATTTGGGCCTCAGTGAAACAAGTTCTAGACGTGAAAGGTCATTTTTGCAGTACTCGGCCAATTCAGCCATCATGTCATAGACTGGATAATCGCAAGCGAGAACTGTGACAGTCTCGATATTTGGTGGCAAATTGCCGAAATCATGTAGTATGCCTTGCTCCACCTCCAGGTGCTTGAGGTTCTCGAATGCTTGGAAACTTCCGTACTGCGGGCAACGATGCCATTTCTCAATAGCTATGGGGTTGGCCACATCCAGGTCGACGCGCAGCGACTTGAGATTCTGCCGTTGAGGCTCTAGACAGGGAAGTAGCGCCGGGGCTGGGAACTGGCAGCTCACCCTCCTTCGGGCATCCCAAGGCACCGTTGTTTCGTATACGAGGACCTCGAGATTTTCACACGCCCGCATGATATTTGTCAGTCGTGGTGCATCCAGTGAAGCTCTTATGAGGTGTAACTCGGAAAACTTGAAAGAACCGGGTGGAAGCTCAAAGGTTGGACACCCAGAGCCGTTGCCCTCGCAAAACGCCAAGGAGAATTCCTTCAAGCTAGGCAAGCACATTAGGTCGACCACTTCCGGCATAGTCGGATGTCGCATTTTTAACTTATCTTTTATGTGAAGAGACTTCAACCTAGACAGGTATGCAGGTCTACCATCAGGCCCTGGTAGATAAAGTGGCCTCAAGCCTCTCAGACCTTCGCGGCCGCTCACAAGATCTAAGTTCTCCAGATTCGGAGCGAGAGCAGCAATGACCACAATCAGCGGATTCATTCTTGCACCGTTTATGGCAGTCACATAATCGAGCTGGCAGGGAATCCGCTTCTGGTGGATGACGCCGTTCAGCACTGCGATGGTTTCGTTCCTAACCGCTGCTGGCCATTCCCCGACCGAGTCTGAAGGGTTGTGATTCGCATTGATGCAGAGACGAAATACTTGTCCACCCAGGTCAGGTCGCAAGGCAAGGGTCCTAGCGAAAGCGAGAAGGGGACCAATGCGGCTCGCTCGCTTCACATATATCCCGCTGTTATGATCGAAGACATACTTGTAGAACACGTTATAAAGGTAAGGTTGTGTAATCATCCAAAGTCGTTTCGACGTTAAACAGAGATTCAGTAACGTTCTCACATCACGGGGACCACGGAGGCAAGAAATGATATCCAACAGAGTCTCAGTGGGTAGCGTTTCGAGTTGAGCCATGGTCATAAGTTACTCGATAACGAGACCTTAGTCAATGAGTTTTGACCGCGCTGAAGGATATAGTCAGAATCTACCAGGTCCATGGCATAGATGCAAGCACCTCGAGCAGACATGTGCCTCTTGTGAGTGAATTTGTTATTACCAGTTACGGACACCAGCTGTTCGCCATATGAGAGTCCTCTGAAGATACTCACCTCTCAGTACAAGATAGAAACTTCCGATTTCATTCTTTGATGAGGAGTTATGCGCCTAAGCGGTTTTAAGAGTGGAGGTATAAAATATGTGATTCAGCTATTGAGAATTGATTAGTAGGGTGTTCATGGATAGATGCAATGCGGCGCGACTCAAGCAAGTTGAGCCTTCTTATCATCGTTGCTCATCTCCGGGGGGAGAAAGCCGCCGCCTCACAACTCCTTCCAGATTGGGAGGAGCATAAATAACACATCGTGACGTCACCTGCAAACCGACCAAACAGCCCGCGGTCCACTCGTCTTCTAACAATCAGCAACATCTTTTCCTGACCTCAACAAACACAATCAACGCCAAAGGCAAACAATTGTCAGGCTTGGGTCAGTTTAACAGGGGACCGGTCCTGTTTGAAACCCCCACCTACTAATGTATCTTATGCTTGACAATTTCCCCAAAGACGTACGATGTTATACAATGCTCTGATCCGCACCCATCACATCACCTCGCGCAAGAAGGTCTCCGCCCTGAAACGGGCAGCCGACATGCACAATTGCTTCGTGCTGCTGCGCTCCGGAGGTTGTCCGGGGATTATGTATGTAGAAGCGAGAGACAAAGACGCCGTCGAGTCGTGGGTGAATGTGGTGCGGAATTTGAGGTATAAGGATTTTCAGCTGGTAACCCGACCGGGGCTGTTGGAGGTTGAGTATGAACAAAACAGCGCTGGAAAGCGGGCCGACCCCCCCAAGCAGAGGCCTGGCGTCTCTGAAGTTGACTCAGTCAAAGAATTTGGGGGCCTGATGGAGCAGCGGGGGGTTTGGAAGTGGTGGAGAAAGGGAATGGGCTATCTGAGTTGATGGTTGCGTGGCGATCTTTCGAGCGTTGGATATTCGGTGTTGAGAAAGTCCGTTTGCCATCACATTACATCACTTATCTCAATCGGATCAGCTGGTGTGCAATAATCAAAGAAGCAATCAGAGTCCTCGCTGCGACTCGCCTCTGTCGGTGCGCGAGACTACGCGGAGTCAACGCTACTGAGGTTCAACTGCCGCACCCGGGCTTCTTTGAGGGGCCACTTTATTCAAACGCCACTGCAATACACACCAACACGAGGGATATCTATAAATCACAACAGTCTGGTCTTGTTTTGTCAAAGTTCGTTCATTCGTCCATATCTCCCCCTCCCTTCCAAATCGTCAATATCTCCACTCAATGATGTCAAGAGGGAGAGGTCAAATCTTTCGCAATTGTTCGTACTTGCTATCATATCACTCCGGCTCATCCGGCCACATTACAAGGTTATCTCCCGGCAAGCTGTCAAGAGGTCCACTCTGTCCCAGCTCATCCTTCGGCTCCCCAACATCCAAAGGCTGCGACAGGGGCGTCAAGGCCCTCTTTTGGGTTCTTGTTACCGAGCAATCAGGATCGTCTAATCCCTTGGGCCCCGTACAGGTGTCCATAGCTTGTTGCAGGGCAGCTTGGTCGGTCCAGCCGTGAATGAAATCACCGTGCAATCCATACCCAGTTGTGTCACCCATGGAGTACACCAGGCTCTGGCCACTCCCTATTGGACCCGTGTTGAAGAAGAATTCCATGAAGATTGAGTATATCGCCACTGGGTGAGATCTAGGACAGACACCTTTATTATAATCCCCGACCGCGGGATATGCCATCTGGAAGTGTACAGTACATTAGCCGGTATTATGAACAATGTTATGTCGCTTTCACATACATGGCTTTTGTGATCCGCACTATCGAGGTTCTTACCATCCCAGCAGGAAGGCATAAAAACCTGCGACCGCACGATCTGGCAAGGTTGTCGTGGGAAATGCTTTGTTTCGTTGGAGCTACCGTCATACTCTATGCACATGTGCGATATGGCTTTCTGAGCCAAATCAGAGTCATTGTATGATCTGTCCTTCTCCATTAGTCACGAGGTCTCAATCAAGGCCGTGCTGTGTTCGAACCGTAGATCAGGATCACCAGCTACCATCCTCAGCCCTTCTGGTGGAGCCAATGGATACTCCGACGCATCGCAGCTCGTTAGATTAACTCCATACTCACACGCTCGGTTGAGGTAATATATAGCCTGGTTGGCTGGGTCAGTTAGCCGCGGCCCAAAGGAACCACTGTTGAACGGGCATCATACACTCGACTGATACTCCACGAGCTGGAAAGAGCCATTCTGTAATTGATTGTACAACTGTGGGATCCAGTAATTGCTCTTATCAATCGCTACGCCGCAAGTCGTCTCTTGGGCGTTGCGGGCGGTGTTGACGCCCATTGTCCTCTGGAATGCTGTACCTCCGGCGACCACGTGGACATGTTCCGATATTCCACCTGGGGACACTATCGGATCGGAGAGTTGTGTGGTCAACGGGACACAGCTGAAAGTGAATTCATCGGTCGTGTGCTCTGTGCTGGTAGCGAGACAGGAAAATGCCAGGATTGATACGAGGAGGGTGAGGACATGGACATGGGGCAGTCTGGCCTTCATGGTGATATCGACATCAAGTCAAGAGGGCTAAGCTCGGCGCTGGGAACAAACGACCCTTGTGGTGTGAAGAAAAGGTTTCCTTGCTGTGTCTCAACATGTGTATCTGCATATGGTTGGGGTTGTCGCGGACATAATATTGTTTCGTGTGCGGAAAAGGGATCCCCATGCCGGCTTGCTTCGGGTTGATCCCATCACCACCAGGCTTGTGAGCGCCATTAATTATGTCCTGAATGAAGGAATGCGTCAGAGCAAGGAACAGAAATAGCCTTCGAGTATACTATTCATGTAACCTCAGTTACCCATACCATGCCGCTCATACCTCGAGGAATCTCAGCGACGTGCGATGCTAAATAACGCATGCTTGCGGTCTTGGGATACATTCCTAGCCCCTTAATTTGTCTGTCATTTCGATTTCGACATAGCTTTGCACCGGCACAAGGAGGTGTGAACCTTGATCTTTCATTACTGGAGACGATATATGCTTTGCAGCCAAAAGTCAATGATTGATCATCCACGAATGAAACTTTTAACTGGTGCCGCCTGTTATCGGGTTTGAGCGAATGCGGGTAAAAACGTCCCTCTATCCAATGCATTCCCGAGCCCGTGGCTTTGATCGTCCAGTTTTCACTCCCTCCTGATTGCAGTGGATGCACACTCGCAACCATCTATCCCACCATCCCACCAAATACAGACAGTAATCATTTATGCGGTATCAAGGCATCAGCATTTCTTGAAGGATCCGGGCGACTGGCTGGATGATGATTTAGGGACCAAGTAGATAGGAATTAGGCAGGTATGCCCTGATTTTCGTCCTGCATACACCTTGAAGGTATGATCATGCCATGGCTATTCTGCACCGCGCCACTGAGCCCCGTCAGATCAGGCACATGGATCGGACCCAGTCGGTTATGATCGGCGTAGTAAAACCAGTGGCGTTGACCAAGGAGCTGGTTAGGTAGACTCCTCTATGACCCAGAGATAAGGTAGGCAATAAGAGGACTGGCTAAAATGGGTGCCTGGCGCCTAGCAAGGTTGGCCCAGTGAGCTAGCAAAGTAGTGGGTTGAAACCCCACTGTGCTTGTTCCCCGATCATTCGACACATGTCGTGATTGACCTATCTAGCCATTTGTGGAGAGTGGGAAAACGGGATGAGAAGAGAAGCTATCCGTGGTGGGGATGAATTGTGGAGAAGGGTACTACCAAATTTCGGTCATCATTATTCAGACTTGCATGCCAACCCAGGAATATATGTACAATGTCTCATTCTGCAGCAGCTGCACACCAGCGAGATGCCCGGGCCGATCAACGAACCTGCTCAAGTCGGGTCTGAATAGTCTTTTCATCGAACGGCCCGTCTTCGCCGACATAATTGCGAAGTGCTTCCGAGAACATCAAGCGGCGGGGCGCCTTGCGTCCTGTCATCAGCTCAATTTGCGAGATTGCTTGTTCGACTACATTATCAAGCCCATCTACCAAAACCCACGGCCGGCCCGTCTCGCTTCTGATGCTACGCATTTGACGTAGCAGTGGCGTGTCCAGTGGTTTGTAAGCGAACTAGGTTCAATAGATTAGCGACGCCCAACTGCTTTAGATTCCTCCAAGAAACGTACCTCAAGAACCACGCCTCCGGTCGGGCTGCCCAACCACTGCATCGGCATTTCGAAATTGGCGGGCGGTTCGTCTCGGTCGGGGTCTGCTGGTACGCAGGATGCAATCATACATGGAGGGCAAGCATCGGCTGGCCATTCATCTTTGAGTGATTTCAGCACGTATACTACTTCTGTTGCGTCCACCTGAGAAGCTGCCCAAGAATTGAAATGTCGAGCCACACTCTCAGCCCGTGCCAATGTCCGATTGTAAATAAAGATTTTTCGGCATCCCAGGCGAAGCATGGCATAGACTGCCGCGCGAGCCATGCCACCCGCTCCAATCACCAGCCCCGTTGTTTTCAAGGGACTGATTGCATTACGTGGGGAGAGGTTGCGGTTGATACAGGTCATAATACCTACCCAATCAGTATTCTCTCCGTACCACCCAACCACAGGCCCGGCCTGGTTACGTCGACTCGCTTGCTCTTGTAGGGAATACATGGCGCCATCAGCGCTGGCCCGTAATGGCATGATCGTGTTGATGGCGCCAATTGCCTCGACATGGCGGCTCTTCGCCACGAGCTTGTGAGATAACTGTACTCGCCAGGGCTGAACCACACTCGCCCCTCCGAAATGCGGGTCGCGGCCCAGCCGATCCAGAATTGCAAGGGAGGGAGAATCGGGTATCGTGTAAGTGTGGTTCATACCACATTGTCTAAATGCAGCATTGTGCATTGCGGGAGAAAGACTATAGGCTACATTGCCACCCAGAATGCAAAATTTCAGGGGGTCAAGAACATAGCTCTGGAATAGTGCTTGGACAGCATCCCGTGAAGTGATCTGAGGGTCGCGTCCATTATGTGAGGAGCGCTCGATTGCGGGATGCGTGACGGGGGTAAGAATGGAGTTGAACACTTGGGAGGTCCGTCCTAAACTGCCCACGTTGTAGGCAATGACCGGTGGATGTTCTCCAGGTAAAGCCTGAACCTTGTTTGTGAACTTCACAACGGCCGCATTCTCCTCCCGCGCCGTAATGACGCGAAGAAAACGGACCAGCTGACAGCCAAGCTTTTTGGCTTCAAGATAGAGATCAAAACATGCTTGGCTCTCCCAGCTTTCGGGAGCCGACGGCTCAAATATGCGTTGGCCTATGATCTTGGTCCTTCCCCTAGTGCGAATCGCTTCGATGATTCGAGACCGGTCCTGGTTAAGGTCGAGCGCCAAGTACTCGACCCCCAACCGCAGGCCATGCTCCACGATGGCAAAATACACATTGCTGACTTGTGATGCAGTGGAGTTGCCTTGGGCAATGCCTGTCAAAGTGGAATCGATGGATATTATGATTGGAGTGCGAGCGCTCCTTCGAAGCAAAGAAACATGCTTGCTCATGGTTGCTGCCATATCCACACCCCAGCGGTCAACGCAAAGCTCAATGGCATCCCCGCCCGATTCCAACTCAGGTATCTTCACCGTGCCCTCTAGAAGGTCGGAAGAGCGGACAAATATGGCATGCGTATAGGACCGTAGTTCTGGCGGCGTCTCAAGAAGAACAAAAGGCGAGTCATAGCTGGTGTGGCCCACATCGGTGCCTGTTACGAACCGGACAAAACGCGTGAAATCTTCCTTGGCTTCTTTCAATTTGAAAGAATAGTCGACGCAGCGCCGATCGGGGGTCCCTTCGTCCGTCTGGGCAGCTAAGCTGGAGCGGTCTTCGATATTGTAGAATTCGAAATTGGAGCACGTTCGGTGAAGAGGATCACCCTCACCGATGAGTTTGACTGCTTGATCCTCCAAGCCTAAAAGACTCTGTATGCAATCCATATCACGGATTATGTACACGATTGGATTGGTAGCCGAGTACTGCCGGAGATGCTCTTGCACGGGACGAGTCAAACTTCCCAGCCCACACTCAATCACGCAACGAGAGCGGTGATTGTCTAGCATGGACTTGAGAACTTCGATATCGCGCTTCTGGAACTCTCGGCTCCCATAGCGCTTGAGATAGTCATGTCTCGAGTAGCCCGTGCGTTCCTTGAAGTAGTGATCCTCAGTAATGAATCGTCGTTTTAATGCAGTAGCAGCGACAAACCCCAGAGACCTTTTGCCGCAACCTCGGATGCCCACCAACACCAAGGAGGCATCCGGGTCAAATTTTCGACGCTTGTCGACTGGTGAGTGCGTATGCATTGCGTATGGTGAGAAGTTGATTCTAGGTTGAGCAGCGCGAGCTTAAACAAGTGCACGGGGGAAAGCTCGTCCCAGAGGTCCCAGAGCAAAGGGACGATCCGTTGTGCGGTAATCGAGCAGCTGTACGGTCAGTGTATAGCTGAGCTAGGCAAGTGCCACATGTGAGAGGTCTATCGGCTATTGCAAGTCATTTCCAGGCAAGCCATGATGTAGGTGATTGCGGGCGAGCGGAGAACAATCGATAGTTGAGCAGCAGCGGCGGCGGCGACGGCCGAGAAGCTATCCTGGGGAAAATAGCGGGGTGTGAAGAAATGGTCCTGCGACAGCGGAGTGCGGTAAGGACGAGGGCGGTCAGCGGGGGCCGCGGGCATGCTGCTGCGAAGGACAGCCAATTCAAGACTTAATTCGGATATGCTGTGATTGGTTCACTTCGGAAGATATGATGGGGTGTATAAAGACAGGGCGATCGGTGGAAGGTTTATAGCAGAACCGAAGTCCCACAGCCGGAGCATTTCCCGGCCACGAGGAGAGGAGGTGGAGGAGAGGAGGAGGGGGGGGTGCTTTTGCGAAGAACCTCGCCTCCTCTCTTGTCATCCCTGGCTCACTCACACTCACAATGTCATAAGTCACCGCCTGCCACCTTACCCATCAACCTACCCCGGATAAGTTCTTTGCCGACCTGGTTGGTGCTCCTCTCTCCTTTCATCATGGTATCTCACCACCCACCGGTTTGTTGCAAAGCTTGCAGAAGACAATTTAATGCGTTGGGAATTCTTCCCCCCCTCTTCCCCTCCTCTTCTCCCCACTCTATTCGCAGGCAGAAATCACGGGGAACCGTGTCCTCAACTTATGGCTTTGATTTCATACTTTGAGCCTGTTCAAACCCGGCAATTTCACATATTGACAAAAGGCGAGTGATGATCGCTTCAGGATACATTCGTTTAAAGGTAGTGTAGACATCAGGATGGAAGTTCTGCAGACCACCCCAAATCGGGATGCCGAGCCAGTCTGGCCCGAAAATTATAGCTGCCTGTCCTTGATGAGTAACTAAGATTGACAATATTATTTATGGGCAATAGATAATAGACACACTGGCACAGACAGCGCACAGCCGGAGCGGTTAACTCGAAACAGATTGGTGTGAACACTTGGAGCCGCGGGACTACGTACGTACTCCATCTAATAATCGATCAAACCTTCACTACTCAGCAAGCAGAGCCTTAATTGATTTCAGTGCATACATTTACATCAATATCACCCCACAGCGGGCACAACGCCGGTCCTCGGCAATTTTGACTATTGTCATTGGGTTGGTTTATCGCCAATAGTAAACCTTTGTAAAAGAAACTTTGGTGGTATTCCAAGCGAGAGGACTACTCCGTGGGTAGGTAGTAACTTAAGAGTAGGTATTCGAGTGGTAACTTAGTTCGGAATACTCCTCGGCAGGCACAATTAGGATAATAAGATGGTTACTATTTTCGCACACGGCCTAATTTGCTTTATACAGTACTTACAGTTTACTAGGGGGGTAGTGCTCGATGGTATCATGGATGTATGCTGTTGTTATTGTTGTATTGTTGCTATTTTCTGTACCGACCCCGACCCCGACCCCGACCACTTCTGCTCTCGCAGCTTCTCAAAATTTCCCACAGTGGGATCGTGGAGAAGCCGTGGGGATCCGGCGTGGGGTGGGGGCCTTGCCGCCTGAGGCTAGCTTCCCGACGGAATCGCTTCAGTTAGCTCACAGTAGCTCTCCAGTCTACTCCTACGCCGTACTGCGCTCTGCGTGCTGCCTGACTTTCTTCCTCTCGTCTTCCGCATCTTCGTCCATTCCCGAACTTTTGTTCCGATATTTTCCCCCGCCACTCCACTTTTCCAGTTCGCTGTTCATCACTCACTAACAGTGTCTTGACTCTTGACTCTTTGACCGCTGCTAGACCAAGTGACCAAACTAATTGTCCGCTACCCTTGACCCTGACGGGCATATCTCCCCCCTAAAAAATCTCTAAACTTGGCTGCCTCAGGATGGGGCGGGCCCAATCGATTGCCCATCTTGGACCGACCCAAACACTTTCGACAGTACGACAACCCAAAAGCAGCAGACAGAGAGACCCTGTCTGTGGCTGTGGTTCAACTGGTACTTACCAAGGCTTCCTGACCATTCTTGCGTAATTTCCCGCCTTCTACTTCTATCTGGACTTCTGGGGCCCTGGGTTTCCCGACTGCGTTTATAACAAGCGGCCATGCACGGTTCGAGAGTCTAATCCAATCGAGGACCACCTTCACTACTACTACTGCTGCTGCTGCTACTACTACCACCACCACCACCTTTTCGACCTTCATTGTCCCTATTCTCGATTCTTCGTCTCTTTAATTCGGCTCACAGAAGACCGGCGCTCTTCCCCTGCGCCAACAATAAAGCCACCACTCCATTCTCTTTTGCTACCCCTACATGGCTATGCCATTGCTTTCTACCATATAACCCTCCTCAATGGACGAGGGTTCTGATTCTAAAGCCCCTCGCCGGAAGAGGGTATCTCGCGCCTGTGATCGATGTCGAAGTAAAAAAGTTAGTCATTCTTCTGTGCATATTACTTTCCTTTTACCAATTCATTGATCCCACAATCCCCCGACCTTTCCTGATCTGTCTCCATCGGTGTATTGTCGCCCGAGCCGCCGCGCGTGGGTTGCTGCGATTTGTTACATCACCCACATCATGAATTTACCCTGCCGGGGAGCTTATGTTTGCCTCCCTTCCATCTACCACTCGCATCCTTCGCTTCACCACATTTGCCAACCACTCCCCACACGTCGCTGCCATTGATCAGCACCCCCCCCCCCGTCTACAAAGATTCACCGATTCATATTGACACGACCTTCTGCTATAGGACAAATGTGACGGGCTTCGTCCGGCTTGTTCGGCCTGTCAGGCCTCCGGCCAAACCTGTTCCTACGATCCTCACGCAAAGAAGCGCGGCTTACCGGAAGGATATGTCCGCGGACTGGAGAAGCTGTGGGCCTTGTCGATCTGCAACATTGAAGGCTTCGAAGACACCATGCTAGCTCTATTGGGCACTACAGCTGAATCAGCGTATCGGAGAAACAAGCTCATGTCACTCTGGACTGACGATAGCACCTCTGAATCCTTACACGAATCATGGAAGACGAGTCGGCTCTACAGCGCGCTCGAGAAGATGCTGTCGAATTCCGATCCATCGCCTCACCCCTCGGGAAAACGAACTCGAGAAGATCACGAGGACGACTCAACCGGCGGGGGGGCAGAATGGGGATTTCGAATCGATCGGAGCTCGACTGTCCAGTCGCTCGACAATCCGCGTGTAGTTGGGCCCTCCAATTTCTCTCAACCAAAGCGACCCAGACTGTCATTACCACCTGAAAGTCAACCGCCGTCGCAGACCAAGAACGGGAAGCAGGCGCTACAATTGCCGCCACAGACATCGCAGCTCCTGGACATCTATTTTGCCGTGACTCACTCGTGGTTTCCTATTGTTGCCAAGCACAACATTCTTCGTGCCTCCTACTTGTACGCAGGTGCGCCCGTGTCTGTGGCGAAAATGGCTCCCGGTTCGGGTGACCATGCTGCCCTGTGGGCCTTGCTTAGTTATACCATCTCGCAATCCCGGATCAACCCGCAGGACGGGCCTTCAGGAGTGCTCGCCCAGACAAAGGAGTATTATTCGGTTGCTCGTTCCTTGATTCCGACTGAGACTGAACGTTATGAACTTGGGCATGTGCAGGCACTGCTTTTGCTCACCCTGGTCAATGTGGGATTGGAAGATTGGACGGCTGCTTGGTTATTGGGGGGTCAAGCAGTTCGGATGGCGATCTCCATGGATTTAGGTGTCTTCGCAGATGTGCGACGCTCTGACGAATTGCGGCAGGGCAAGGCCGTGTTCCTTGGTTGTTTTGTCGTAGACTCTTTGCTGTCGTTCCGCATGTCGAGGCGACCTTCCATGCATCCTCGGGATCTTAACACGGTGGGTTTATTGGAGGAGGATGGCCTGGAAGAATGGAATTCATGGGCAGACGTGTTGCCCCCCACAACAGTTGGGCAGGGTAAGAGTCCGCGTCGCGGCCCTCTCCTCGCTTTGAGTTGTTTCAATCGACTAGTCGAGTTAGCTAGCGTGCTGAACAAGATCGCTCGCGACTTTTCGCCGGGCTCGGGCGCTCCGCTCTTCTCTCAGCAGCTGGTTCTCGAACTCAAACAGTGGGATGATCGTCTGCCACTTGGATGCCGCTTGATTGGTCCCGAAAGCATCTATCCGGAACGACATTCCTCTTTACTTCCCCATCAGAGTTATCTGGCACTGACTTATGTTGCTACTCTTCTCTGGCTTTATCTCCGCATTGCTCCTCAAGAGCTCGGGTTACCTCGGTCTCAACGTCCAGCTGTGGAAGGGGCGAAGAAGCTTCTCTACCGGGCTCTTCCTATCATCACTCAGCATCTAGAAAATTTCCACCTCTGCGGTTTGCCGCCTCTATTCGAACTTTCCCTACGGACAATAGCCGAGCAAGCTTTCGTCTTACGCAATAAGATCGAATCAGACATGTTCCCGTTTGCACAATGGGCGGAAGCATTGGTGGAGCGAACGACTATACTGGGCACTACTTGGCCTGTCTACCGCTCATTGTGTACTACTATCGACCATTGGAATCGTTCCAAGGAGCTCCCTGGAACCCCAATGGCGTCTTTCCGGGGTGTTGAAGCGGAGGGTGCTCCACGGTTAGCACACGGAGTCACCAGTAATCCGTTCACACCTGCGCCTATACCTACTTCGTCAGTCGGGTATCAAGCCTTACCTGGAGAAGCTTCGCTAAGTGCTCAAACGCGCAGAAATGTTTCTGATTTGCGTGACCCTGTTTACACGACGTCCATCACGGGTATCAGCATTCCAGTAGACGGACAGTACATGACGCCAAAGGATACAGTCATGGAAAATGCTGATCTATCGATGATAGATGCGTCGTTCCAAGCCCCACCAGGAAGGGCAGCGGTTCATATGGACAAGTCTAGCCCTGCGAATGGGTTGACTGCGGCTCTGGCACGGGCACCACATTCTCATCCAACAACTCCTGATTCCTCCGTATCGGCGTCCTTGATGCCTGGTATATCCGGAGCACCAAGCGATCGTTCCATTCCCCGGAGCGAACATATGGACTCTCGAGATTCTCGAACCAATAATCCTGCTGAACCTCATCTTGGGTCAACAGGCGATATTGATGCCATTTTCCGAGATCTGGCTTACCTTGATACCACAGAATGGGCGACTAGTCGCGAGGCGGCATTGAAGGATTTTGGTTTTATCGATGACAGCACGTTTCAGGCATTCTGTCATGATCCGGATCGCCTTGCTGGGTCTCAGCCCTTGGTCCATCCGCCTTCAATTGCGGACATATGGCCACCTCCAGGCTTTTTTCCGGAAACATTCCAAGAACCGATGGAGGACACAATGGAGGGTTAGTTGGGAAACAGCCGACTGGCGTCCCTTGGAAAGGATATATATGCCTCAGGAGTCTCTGTCGGGTTCTGTTGGTAGTGTTGCTTCATGGCTTGCAATACCATTAGCATCATCGAACGACGCCGTGAGATGGGTCACCTAGTGCCGCGCACTCATCTCTTTGTTATCTTGTTCTATTTAGATACCCAATGCAAGCGCGCTACAGGTATAATGTCTCATTGGTTCTTTTGCTGAGATAGACTCATTATCTGGTAGTTCCGTACATTCGAGGTTGGTGATATGGTGTTGACAGGCAACACTAGTTGGTGGTTGATGTACCATTGTGACACAATTCTCCACATTATTGCTATACATTATTGCTATACCTATACATTCTCATACTCCAGGAGAGCATGCAAAGGCCAGGAACTTGACAAACCAGGACCTTCTCTAGATAATTCCGCTTCTATGAGTACCAGTACTAGGGACGCAGAACCCCGAGTGCGTGTGGTGTATCATTGGTCAATTGAAACTTGAGGCATAAATGATGAGCTATCAATACCAACCCCAGATAAATACAGTATCCAGGTATAGTTTTCTCCTCCTCCCCCCTCCCCCACTTTCTGCCGAGTCCCCTTCGCCCCCTTCGCCCCCGTCTCAATTGGCACTCAGAATAAGCACCCCAAAAAAGTGAAGCCACTCTTCGCTCCCAATGCGATAATCATCCGGGGCGATCTGCAGAGATCCAGTCCATATGCCAGGAATTGATATCACGCTTCTTCTTTTCTTCTTCTTCTTCGTCGTCGTCGCCGCCCCTCATCGTTAGGCTAAATGGGCGATTTACGTTACCACCTACCTACCTACTGGGTGAGAGCCTAGCTAGGGACCCTTGCCTATAAGTTCATCTCCTCACTTTTCCCCCTGTATCGACATGAGCTTCATCTCTAGGTTTTTCACCCCTCTCTACGTCGCCGGGAAACTCCTCAGCCCAATCATTCGCGTCTGAATGTTCTTCAGTTTGAAACCTTGGGCCGTGTTACTTGGAATTCCGAAGGATAATGGAATAGTACCTAGTCTTATCGCAATCTCATGGACGGGTACACAGTACCGGGGATACGTTATCTAAGGAGAATATACTGCGAACCTGCGTTTCACGTCGAAGTCACTAACTTACTGACCTACTGTACTGTACAGTACTCCCAAGGTACTGGAGTAAGGTACGTAGCTGGCCTCAAGGGTCCCTGTCGAATTGCTTTCCCAGTTATAGGTTTGTTATAGACTATTGACCTACGCAATAAGGATGGTGATTGGCTCAGGTTGAGATCCCAACCCCGTCAGCGCTGCTCGATTTGATCCCTCTCTGCCGTCAAATGTATGGTGTAAACCTGGAGTCGAAGGTACCTGCCCCGCCCGTGCATACGTTGTCTACATATAGCATACATGGGACTGTACAAGAAGCCCGTCGCCCTTGATAGTCGCCTCAGGCTGGTGTGATTGTCGTGAACTGCTTCCTATCTCACCCCCTGGGCTGACGGTGGAGACGACCCATCACCGACGGGCTAACTGGCAGGCTAGCAGGCTAATGACACCGGTCATCGAAGACTCGTGGTGTGTTCTGATTGATGCTCGGTTGCCTTGGGTAAATGATTGGTTGTGCAAAGCCACGGTTGGAGACATGGATGTGGGAATCATTGCCAGTTCGTTGCCCGGTGGTGTGCCCAGTGTGTACAGTAGTAGAGCATAATAATGAATCACAGATAGCTACCTAATACTATTCTTCAAGGCAGCAGTTTGTGATCAAAAGTAGCATTCACACGCTAGGGTCCCATTGATTTATTATCACTGCTTGATTATTCATGATATACTCATTGTCATTACCGCCGATATGCTCGGGCTCTCCATGCCGCAGACTTCCGCCCCATTAGAAACGCCAGACTGAAAATAAGATGCCTGAACTCCCCCACATACCTCCAGTCACGGAGCTTTCCATAAACTCAGCTCAGTATCATAACCAGGTGAACGAAACCCCGCCTCTTTTACCCTTGGCGGATGCAAGAAAAGGACAGCGTTAAAACATCATTATAACCCGGAACGCCTCGGCCTATCTTGCCAGTCGTATGATGTATAAGTAAATTCAAATAAGAGATGTTCTTCTTCCGACTAGAAGGTGCTTTCAGGTGATGCATTAGGAAGGTAGAGCGGGATCACCGTCGCCAGCCCACATTCCATATCACGTGAGCGATGTCTTTGGCTGTATTCATTGTATCAATAAAGCGCTCAAGGACGCTGCCATTCGAAGTTTCCTCGTCTTCGGTGGGAGTGGACCCCGTTGACGTCGAGCCGAAGTAGTGACCAAGCTCTTCGTCATCTTCTGGATTGACGAACCAGGGACGGCTGTGATGAGATGGTTCCTGGGATCCCAGATTTGAGTCCCACCCAAAGGTATAATCGCCGCCGTCGTCGTCTAAGAGGAAGTTGGCGGAAGCAGAAGGTCGAGTAGTCTGTTCCAATGGAGTCGAGGAAGAAAGATAGTAGGACCAGCGGTCCATTATCGAGCCTGCCGGAGGCTCAGGAGTGTCCCCACGATATTTCAACGTTGTCGAGGGAAGCGGAGCAATGGTTTTGTTATCAACACTAATACTACCACGGGGTGTGCCTCGATCGCTTCGTCCTATGTTAGGATAAATCTGTTTCATCATCACGACACCATCCTCCGACGAAGAGTCATCGCAAGCCCTTTGCTCTTCATCGTCTTCCTCCTTTGCTTCTACAGCAATACATTGCACTACTTCATTGTTGAAATGGATATGTCGTTTTTCACTGGGTGACCCAATGCCTGACGACGTTGTCTCGGTTGTGGTTCCACGAATGGACACTGGAACAAGAGTGGCGGCCAATTGGTTTGGCACCTGCTCAAGGTCCGAGGGGCAGCGCTGGAAAGATGGCCGACTTCGATGTGTCTCCGCCTCCTGTGCTTTCAGAATAGCCCCTGCGTGCTGCAGGAGAGTATGCTGGGATAGAGATCGTTGGAGGATGGTTTCAGATGCCGTTCTCTTTTTCAAAATCGGCTTCCTATCCGGATAAAGAGTTGGCGTTGCAAATCGACTTGGAGGTGGGGAGTCATCCAATGTCGGTTCTCGTCTATCGCATGTTTTCAACGGGCCATACAGCCATGTCACGTCACAGTCCTTGAGCCTAAACAAAAGATCTTAGGATGTCTGTCGATCAAACAAAGAGGGCGAAATGAGAGAACCAACCAATTTAGAGTCTCTGGGGACACCGTGCCCAAATTCATCTTCAGCTTGCCCCATGTTCGCCATGACGCATTCTCCAACCTCACTCCGTTATCGTAGGCGCTTCGCCGGGCGACCACATACCGCCACGAGGCCCATATGTCCTCCTGCCGCCACTCATGGGATAAATAATCAACATGTCTCGACGGCTCATCTTCGATTGAACTGTCGTCGGCAGCTGGTGTCTGAGCTCTCCACCGTTGAAGATCCGCCGATGAGTCTACTGATACTTCACTGAGAGCTTCCGGTTCTTTTGGGATGAACTGGTGAGAATCATACGATGGTAGTATCAATTCACTGTCATCCTGGTCGTCACCCACATTCAAAGACAAACTGCTGAAGGCGGTGGCTGTCGACGAGAAATGATCCGCAGCAGAGAGTGCAAGATCCGGAGGGGGTGGGTCGCGAGGGTGCATCGATCCGATCGGATTGGCATAGGCTCTTGAACGAAAGCCATGAACAGCAGACTTAGCGGTAGCGATCTCTGGCTCCTCGATGAAGTAGGTCTGAGTGATAGGGGACCGAAAAGAATCTGGAGAGAAGCGGGAGTGCTCCTCTCGAGAGGTGGGAAGAACGGCAGTCATCTTTGCAATAAGATCATTCACGTCAATGGAGGATTAATGGACCAGCGAGCTTGTGAGAGGCGAGAAGGTTGGTGCAAGTGATGTGAGGAGCGAGCGATGCTAGACACAGGCCGACGACGAAAAAAAGACGACAGTGAGAATTACAGAGAGTCTCCAGGCAAAGCGAACAGCCTCGGATCTAGCGAAAGCGACGAAGGGCTGAGATCATGGCGCAAGGATATGGTCAATGGTGGAGGGCAGTATATACGGGACGAGTAAATCTTATACCGCGGGTCGAAGAACGAGCTAGAGAGTCCGAGGAGGGGACGGAATGGCTGTCCCAGCCCCCCGCTAGGTGAACAGAGTTGGAACCGACCGAAGAGCGCTGGTCAGGGATTGTGAGAGAATCGGTCGCACGGAGGATCGGAGAAGAAAGTAAGTGGAGGTAGTGAAAGGATCTAGATTGAGATGGGGAGGGAGGGGGGGCGACCAGTATGGAAAAGGCCGGGGGCGAGGAGGGGGAGCAGCAACCGTAGTGGAGGAGTAAGTAGTAGACAGGATAGAAGCACAGGAAGAGGTAACGCGTAAAATAACGTTAGGAGAGGAGAATAACGGGAAACCGGGAAGAGACAAAGCTCCCGCACTTGATAGTAGTGGCGGCGGGTGGAGATCGGGGTGGCATCAAAAGGGCGTTCATTCGCGATCAGTTATTCTGGGATCTCGTGTTGGAAGATATTATTCTCTGTGCCAGTCTTTTTGAAACTGCTCACTGGCTATTAGCTCAATGACAGAGGGCGGGGCAATTGATAGAGGACTGGACGTGGTCGAGACCGACTTGAGTGACTGTTGTCTTTGACGGGGTCTGCAGAAAGAGCGAAGGATGGGAAGACTCGGCTCAGTGCTGATGAGATTGACGTTGACGCGTGGTTTGAAAGGGATGGACGCAAGGTGAAGTGCGAGTGGTGGATCCGTTAACAAGGGAAACTAAAAGAGGTACGAAGTGTCATAGCAGGAAAACATTAGTCAGTTCGTTGCTAATCCTAGAGGCTAGTTAACATGTAGTCTTAAGAGTTATTCGTAGAACTTGGAAGGAATCCTGGCAGAAGTTCAGACATAATCTCGAACAAAAGAAAGCGAAAAAGAAAAAAAGAAAAAAGGAAAAAAAAAGGGGAATTGACCGCTTGCTGCATTTAGACTTGGGGGAGGGGAAATACTACATACTCATTCTACGAACGGAGTACGTACATACGAGTAGCACCAAGTACAAGTAAATACCTGTGTAGGTACTTGTACGTACTTACGTACGTAGAATGAGTTGAATCGCCACCGGTTTAGTCTCAGTCAAGAATCAAGATAGAAAACCGGGTGCGGGTGGAGATCAAGCTGCAACACTAGGCTCGTTGTAACCTAGTTCACTCTACCGTTGGTGTAACTTTTGGGGGGTGGAGAGACTCCGGAGACTCTTCTAGAGCGGAAAGAGGGGAAACTGTCGCTGACTCAATGATTTTAGATGCTTCAGAGAGGGTCTAGACAGAGGTACACTGTAGTACTATCTGTACTTCCAGCACTGGGTATTTAACGAATTTCTTATGATTACCTCTTACTACTTACCTATGTACTACAGAGTGCTTCACCACTGTAACCACAGAGAGGTATTTGTTAGTTAAGTAGGTTATCATCCAGCACAGTAAAGTGATTGACAACCAACTTTCACAATTAACAATAGTCAATATAAATGATCGCTTCATTCAGTGGCAGGGAATGATGGAATTGTCTGGCTTTGAACTTCCTTTCAAGCATCCTGAATGCAACCAAACTCAGGTTGGGTACTCCGTTTGCAGTCACTCATGTACAATACATCTCCCGAATTGGATGATTGCCCAGAAAGGCGGGGGTGCCTCGAGTTTGGTACGCATGTGTACTTCAGTCGGATTGGACCTACCTCAAGTTAGTTTCATGTATGTACCTTTTCCCCCTCTACAGAGAGGGTATATTCAAACACACAAATACACAGAAAGAGAGAGAGAGAGACTCTTCGGACAAAACTCGGAATGTTTCTTTCGTCTCGATACGTCCCCTTGCTTGATTGTTGTAGGATACAACAACTACATATACGTCAGTACCTTATGGATGTCCCGAGCATGGCACGGATGTTCTGCCCGCAGGGCTGCTGCCAACGAGCTAGTGATAATTAATTACAAGTGCGTAGTTACAGTAAGACTGACAGTCCGAATCCTACCGCAAACGATCGGAGCTATTCGGATTGGAATAGAACGAGTGATAGGTGCTGTGCAGTACTCCGTGCTTTGGTCTAGGTAGTCTACTTCTCATAGTACAGTACAATACTACTCAGTACTAGCCAAAGATAGAGACGGGTTCTCCTCCTCCTCCCGCTCTTTTGCCCCTCTCGACTGTATCAATGGTGATTGCACCCTGCAAGTTGTAGTTTTCCTTGGCTGCATCTTATCTATTCAACGGTCCAAGCGTATTGGCAACCGGAACCACTCTCTCAACGGGATCAATCTAGACTCATCCACTTTCTGAACGAAGTATATGCACAACGCTGTACTCGACTTAGGTAATATTAGCATTATGTTGCACAAAAAAATGAAAAGGCGCAATCAGTTAATGCTTGGTGACAATAGGGCTTCCAAGCCTCTCGAGGGTACACAGAAATTGGTGCGCGTTGATACCTAAAGCACCACATGCTGAGTCAAGTCTGATTTGTCCGCTATTATCCCTCACCCTCGGGGGAAACACCACTCCAGATGGGTCATGATGTGAGACCTAATCCAAATCATCAACAAAGAAAAAGGGGAGCGAGCACCTGAGGGTCAAGTATGGATGGATAGTATTCAAGATCCATCGGGCGGCTCGATGCACGTCAGTAAACGGCTGGCGGGGACTCGGGACAGTGGAGACTTTCCAAGGTCGGGAAAACCTTGTGCAAAGACCATCCGATAATCCAATCGTTCCCACCAGGGCCTATCCTACGCTTCTCTTTGGTCAATGGGCTTCCATGATAAGAAAGCCAGAAACCGGGGCCCGGTCCGCAAGGCAATTGACTAAGTTAGTACTACAGTACATGCAACTGAGCTTCTTTTTGCTTTCCATTCCAAAGTTTTCAGCTTATGATTCCCATGCAATGGGTCTTTTTCCACTCCGTAGAGCGCCATGAACAGAATGCCGAACCGGTTGCAGCTCGAGTGCAACGAAACACCCTGTGCAAGCACATTGTTCCCGATACGGTCTCGAACCAACCGGCCAATCGAGTTGTTTCTCCTCCAGGATGTACGTCAATCATCGTGAATCTTTGTCAAGGATATAAGGATAACAGCGATACCTATTGATTACAAGATCGTTGCTTAGAAACGGCAACGTACCTATGCCCCTCACACTTTATCCTAGACGCCTTTAAGTCTACATTCTGATCCGATGGCGATCGTCATGACAGCACTAATCTTCGCAAGGTATTGTAGTCAGAGGATTCATCTCTAAGCCCGGGTTCCCTAGGGGCTGTGAATGACGTGTCTCAAGGTCGACTGGTGACAGGACTGCTCATCCCTCTGATCTCGTCGCTATATCATCCTTGGCTCGAACCAGGGCCGTTAGCTGCGCTCGACTGGTGTCTGTTGAGAAGCAAAATCCAACGCGGCAATGCCCTGTACTTCCCTCGTCTGATGAGAGGGGCGCTTGTTTTTTTAACGAAGATAGGGTCGCTTTGCTTCGCAGAGCTTAAGGGTCTCTATTCCCATCATGAATCGGAGGCAAGTGAAAGCGTACAAGTCTCGCACGTGCTTTATACAGGTGCTGAAACACATTTGCTCGAGACCTAAGAGCAGAAAATAAGAATAAATCCAAATGGAAGGGATAAGATACAAAAACACAGGCATCCAGGTTACATGTTATACATCAAGACCGGAGCGGTCTTGATCTCTTAATATGCTGCATGGAAATCTGTTTCACAAGTAGAAACCGCACCCAATCATCTGATAGTTACACATTCTAGGCTGTGATGCCTATGTCACTCAACTAGGGCTTGTAAGGCCACGTTACCGATTTGCTTGTTTGCCATCGGAAAGCGCGGGCCCCTTGTCCGCGGAAGCTGCGCTTCCCAGGCAATACTCTTCAAGAGTCGTGTGAATGTACAAAATAGCAGCTTCGTGATCTGTGAACTTAGCCCTACCAAAGCGAGTCTGTCCTGGGAAGAAGGCTGGTTTTTGGGAAGAGAACGATTTCAGTATACCTTTAGCGGAGGCATGCTCGTATTGTAGACGAGGAACCAGCCATCGGCTCCTATGAGGCAACCCCGACAGCCACTTGCGATATCGACAACCTCCGGCCACTTTGCCCGAATAGGCTTTGGGATACTATGGGTCAAGGATTGATCTCCTCGTCATTCCGATCGACAGATCAGTCTATCATTCGAAGGGTGCATAGCGTTGCTCTGGCCAGCTCGGTAGGATTCCCCGGAATTGGGATTGTGCCTATTAGTGCCTGAGGTGGTAGGCTTCACTTTTCCGCTTGAGGTAGCACATCTGGCTCTTGTTCAAAGCGTTACTTATGGTTGGTTTGAGAGTGAAGGTGTCGGGTACTGCAGAAAGGGCTTCCTTGCATTCTGCTTGGCCCCTGTTCGCCTGTCTCGGGCCTCCGAGGGTTTGCACCATTGCTTCTAATTTTTCTGTCTCACTGCCACCACTTTCCTCTTCCTACTAGCTCCTCTGCTTGATGACTATTGAATTGAGGGTTCTTCGAAGACTCTTCAAGCCACAGTCCCGTCGGAGCTACGGGTGTCAGAAGCGGATAGTCGACGTCTCACTTCTAAGTCATCGGGTCTCGCGTAACACCGAGAGGGTATAAGATGGCAAAGAGAGCAAGCTTACTTTCTACAAAGTATACATACTTAAAACCTCAGGAGTATGAACTAGAATTAGATAGAACACCATGTGTTTGTGCCATCGTCACTTTACGCTTTTAGTTCTTCCATGATAGTTCTCCTAGCTCGTTACACTCGAACTTGAGTGGGTTTTATCTTGCAAGCAGAAGTACCATCACCTCAGCATGTTTCTTTCGGTCTCCTATAATCCTTAATCATGCCTGTCCAGCCGATTATGCCTGCGAATTGAATCGGCAAACATAATCACGTGACCTTTTTACAGCGCTTCCAAAAGTGGTTAGTGGAGTGGCTGCAGTACCGACCCCGCGCCATCTCAATAAACTAAAGTGCAGTCGGTGATAACAGGACTTCCGAATTCAACGAATTCTAGTGTTTTAAAACATTATCACTCTCTGGATCGATTGGCCCTCATTCTATAAACTATATACAACAAGGTCATTGGGTCAGAAAATGGCGGACGTCGAGCAGTCTCGTCCGGTGGAAAACCAGGCAAAGCACGTCCTGTACTGTGGAGGTGAGTGAAGGCCCATCTCGAACTTGAGCTTCTGCGATGGGAGGAAAATCATTTCTCGCTACCCTGGTCCTTAGACTGACAAGGCTAACGCATCGTGTGTTTTGCATGTGCAGTCTGTACACTGCCTGTAGAAGTATGGCCCTCAATCCAGCGTTTTTTTTCCCCAGAGCATGTTATGATCGGCAACATCTCAAATCGAACGACTTCCTCGAAGATAAGTGGTTGACTCGTGGATCTCCAGTATTGCGAATTCGGCGGAATGGCGAAAAAGTGCGAAGACTGGCTGAAAGACACGCACCCGGACGCGTATCAGCAGCTCTATTCTGAAGGTTCGTCCGCTCTGTTCAGATCATTGTGGCAGATCTTGGAACTACCGCAGCTGACTGATATGGGGTCGCAGAGGCTCTGACTTCCAAGTTATCTTCACTTTCGGTGTCTGCCCAGGAGCGTGCTGCTAAGGATGCGGCTAAGAAGGAGGCAAAGGCTGCCGCCGCAGAGGCACGCGATGCAGAGCGAAAGGCTGCTTCCAAGGTACAGATCAAACGCGTTGAACGTAACAAGCGCAAACATGTCACTGTCATCACGGGCTTGGACATTTACGGATTGGAGAACAAGAAGCTCGCCAAAGAGCTCGGTAAGAAATTTGCGACTGGTTCCTCCATGACTCGCTCTGCTGGAGGCACCGAGGAGATCACTGTTCAGGGTGATGTCAGTGAAGACGTGAAAGAATGGTTGTTGGAGTTTTATGCCAAGGAAATCCCTGAGGTCAACATTGAACTTATTGAAGACAAGAAAAAGAAGTCGAGCAGCTGATTTATTGTCTATCGATGACCTATTATATAACGGCAGACTAAGCGCTTAACGTACTACATCGGATGCTTGGATGCAACTGGGTATCACACGCAAAAGCCAATAGTAATGCAATGGAGTCGAGGCCGACCTTGACCTTCATGCCAGAAGTACAGGGACAGGACGCCGCACTTATAGATTATTCAGAAACAGAGAAATTAAGAGGGTCGTCACCAGTAGGCTTCGAACTACCGGATCCCTGATACAGGGTATCAATTGGCTGCTTGATCCACGTGTGAGTGTTTCCTCCTTGAGATTCGTGATTGCCCTCGTCCCGAAGTGATACACTATGATCCAATGTTGCCGTGCCTGCACGCATGTTGTTGGAAATGGCCGAGGATGTTATCATGCTCCTGTTCTGTGTGGCAATGGCCAGAAGCACTGCAAGTACACCCGCTATCGCAAAGGTCCAGAACATACGGAGCCTTCGATTCACGCGGTCTTGCCATTCCATCTCTTTCTTCTCCCAGCGATCGATCTCATTCCGCATGTTTTCAAGTCGATCATTGAGTTCCTGAGCTTTCGTCCGCCCTATCTTCATGCGATCTTCTAAAGCTTCTATCCTTCTAATCTGTGGCTGGAATTCTTGAAGCTCTCCGATCTGTTTTCGGATATCTTGGTCGAGACTCGACGTTTCTCGCTGGAAATCGACAAAGAGAGTTGATGTAGAGATGAGCAGTTCCTGGAAAGATGATACCGTAGCATTCAGGGCTGCCACCTTCTCTAGGAGGTTATAGTACGTGTAATCCAGACGGCGCGTGATGTCTGTAGCCAATGTTCCGATAAGTGACAAAGCGGACCTCAAATACCTGGTGTACAGTCAGTCATACCAAGCCCGGTTCAAAATACAGCGGTCGGAACTCACTCCTCGCCATATTTCCGTCGACTTTTCACTTGCTCCAGGTCCTCTAATGACCGGAGCTCTTGACGTGCGACCGGTCCAAGTTTTGTGTTTGTATCGATTCCCTCGAGTAGGCTCTTCCTCCGGCTCCCGTCAGTCAATCCCGTGGTAGACTCTGATCCCCAGCGCGATCGTGTCGCTTGACGTGTGATCGGACGGAGGAGACCATTCTCTTCATCATTGTCTTTGTCCCTCATCCCGGGCCACGTCGGCAGCAGACCCCTGGCAGTGGTAGATGTCGTAGTCTGATTCTTTTTCCGTGGGAAACGACTGTCGCCAGATTTGTTACGCTTATGCTTGTGACGGTGGCGTGATTTGTGCAGAACTCGGTCTAAGCTGGGAACGTCGATGGCCAGATGACGGTGCTGCTGTTTATCTTCGGACAGGCTGACGATGTTGGCAAGTTGCAGATTGTCTTCATGGCCATGGCTGTCGGTGATAAATTGGGCTTGATCATAGCTTGTGCTGGCCAGCTGCTGGTCCAGTGAAGTACTAGGCGGTTTCTGGGTGACGACCACGCCAAAACCATGGGTGGCTGGTGGATGAGGGACGGAGCGCTCGGGAGTCGTAGAAGATACCATGCTAGGCGAGGACAAGCTCATGGAGGCTTCTGTTCGGACTCGGCAAGGCCCCTGGTCCGTAGAGCGGATAGTTCAATGCAATAAAAGAGAAGAACTACTTGTTCCAATGCCCATCAGCTGTGCAGCTGGTCAAAGCCGTTCGATTGAGATGGCGGACTCGACATCAGGCGCCAAGCGTTGACCGATCGATACCCTCCTTCCCCTCCGCTGGATTCTTTAGACTACATACAGCACGATCGGCATGACTTGAAACGCCCGACCCTGTCTCCGAGCCCATGTGGCTTTACAACTACTTTGGTATAGCATGAAGTCTTGAAGGATCCTATGTGGAGGTGTTTCTTGCTTCCGTATGAGTATAATTAAAAAACCAGTATCCAGAACCCCCAACTCCATGGTCGCCATGATCCATTTTTGTCCCGACAGAAAATTGAAGAATGTGAAAAGAGGCCGCCTGTCGCCACATTATCTTCCGAAGGCTCAGCGCAAACAATAGGAAGGCGATTTCTGCGTGAATGAATAGGAAGAAAAGGCAATTTTCGAACAGCTGGTAGGTAACCGCCATGCATCCAGTGCAGCAAGCAAACAGCAAGAAACAGTTCAACCGCGACAGCATACACTGAACTGTTCAGGGTCGACCAAGCTCTAGGCAGCATCAAGAATTCAACAATTTGTTGCGCTTTTCACGGCGCTTCAAGCGCTCAACACGTTTACGATGCATCTTCTCGGCCATCTTTTCATAGCGCTCTTTCTCTTCCTTGGCGGCTCTGCGATCCTTAATTCGCTGGATATGGGCCTGGTTGTGTTGTCAGTCCACCTACGCTGCCTAGGGGTGGAATGAATTGCAAGTCTGCCCTACCTTCCGCTCAGCCTCCTTCTCTTCCTTGAGTTCCCTTTCGTGCTCTTTGACGGCCTCTTGGTGTTTGCGGGTTTCCAGGCGCTTCGCATAGGAGGTCATACCCGCCGTAGGGCGGAAGGGCTTCTTGGAGTCGTGCCAATTTTTTCCTGCGGGTCCGAGAAGTACGACTCATTAGCTCCAGTCGTTTTTTCAGGAGGGGTGAGGGGAAGAAACAAAATGTCAGAAAGAAAAAAAAAAGAGAGAAAACAGGTAAAAAGTGGGGAAACCAAATTAATACCATTCTTCCGCATGCCCTTAACGGACGGAGTGACTGAAGCCGAGGAGGACGACATGGTCAGACCAGGTGAGGAGAGTGGGAATGGGAATTGAAGCTGCCACCAAAGCGAGATAAATGCCGAGGATGGGGAAGAAGGAGTGATATGTATTGTTAGCAGTTCTCCGGTGCCTTTCCCTCTTATTCTTCCGGTTGTCTGATTTTGAGGAAAAAGTTATCTTAGACCGATCAGATAACCGGATCTCGGTGGAAGTGAGTATCCGAACCCGCGTCTGGCACTTGTGGCTCCGAGGATGAGGGATTTGTCCCACCTTGTTTCCTAAGAATCACTTGGTTGGCAAGCTAGTTGAAACATCGCAACCAACCGTCTTCCTCTCTGGCCCCCCACTATATGTGACCTCTCGGCCTTTGGGCTCATCTGCTTCCAACTTTGCAAGCGATGCTCGCTCTTTCCTGAATTTATCGCGCATGGTTCGGGCATCTCACTGACACCACCCCTCCCCGACACACCGCCCCTCTTCGGATCAGGTCCTCCTCTTTAAATACTCGCTTGGCCCTTCAGACCGAACCACTTTCTATACCTACCATGTTCTCTTAAGAGCTTAACTTCCTGTCCTGTCCTTGCTGCCTACCTTACCTCATCTCCTCCCCAATTCTTGACTATCTTATCCCCTATGGCGGCTGCAGAGAATGCGATAGCACTAAAGAATGAGATGTCGATGGAACTCCCTTCACTTCCGCCCAATCAGGGCTTCGAAGCTTTCAAAGATATTCTGTTTGGATCTGTGAGTCGCCTTACTATATCGCTCAATGTTAAGCTAGAAACCACTGACGCTCCGTCAGACTGCGGGAATGGTAGGGAAGGTAATCGAATACCCTTTTGATACCGTCAAAGTACGACTCCAGTCCCAGCCGGATCATCTTCCTTTAAAATACACCGGTCCCCTGGATTGCTTACGCCAGTCGTTCCAAGCCGACGGTGTGCGTGGGCTCTACCGAGGGATCAGCGCCCCTATGGTCGGGGCGGCTGTAGAAAACAGCTGCCTCTTCTTTAGCTACCGCCTCGTCCAGGATATACTTCGCGCCACGTTTTACGCCCCGGCAGATGCGCTACCCTTTCCAGCGTTGGTTCTCTGCGGTGCTGCGTCTGGGTCAATAACCTCCCTCGCGCTTACCCCGGTGGAGCTGATCAAATGCAAGATGCAAGTACCTCTGGCAAGCCCCGGCGCTAAAGCGCCGGGGCCTGTGGCTCTCATTGTATCTGTGTTCCGCCGCGATGGTATTATAGGCTTCTGGCGTGGACAGTTAGGGACATTTATTCGCGAAACCGGCGGTGGCGCCGCTTGGTTTGGTAGCTACGAAGGAGTTATGGCGCTCTTCCGCTCATCCCGCGCAGCCTCTCAGCGGGCTGATGATGCCGCACTTGAGTCCGATCGCGTTCCCATACCCCAGCAGATGCTCGCCGGTGCAGCAGCTGGCGTCAGTTACAATTTCCTGTTCTATCCAGCCGATACGATTAAGTCACGCATGCAAACCGAAGACATCACACGCTTGGCGCACAATGGTGAAAGGCAAACATTCTGGGGGGTTGCCCGAACCTTGTGGGCACAGCAGGGAGTGAAGGGATTATATCGAGGTTGCGGTATCACTTGCGCCCGGTCTGCTCCCAGCTCAGCGTTTATCTTCACGATATATGAAGGTTTACGAAGCCATTTTGGTTGAGCGTGTCGTCACTCTATGATCTCCTTGTCCTCCTGCCTTTTTCTTTCGAGTAACTCTTGCGTTTTCTTGAGCTTTTCTGGCATTGTTGTATGATACCTATATTCATGTTCTAGATCTAGACCTTTTTTTTTATTCTATATTCGATTCTCTTCTTCTCTTCTTGCTTTCTTCACTCTTATCTTCCCGCTTCTCATTTTTCTCATTCTCTTCTGATTTCCCTCCCTTTTTTTTCGTGAAAAACTCAATCTGGCATTGATAGAGGCGGAAGGTGAGGAAGAAGGAAAAGAAGGAAAGTCTTTATTAGAACTATTATTTTTGGGATCAATACTTGCTCTTTCTGGAATGCCAAAATTAAAACTCCATGATGGTGGTTGAGTCGTTACCCGACCTGATTATACGTTACACTTAGTAGAATGGTTAACGAGCTGGGAAAGGTTGCTGTCATGGCTGTCATGGCTGTCATGGTTTTCAATGGGCTGTTGGTTGATCCGCGATAGTTAGCGCAAATTTTCGGAGAGGGGCTGCAAGACCAGAAAAAGAGCATGACGTGTGACCCACGGTCCTCTCCCGCATTCAGCGTTACTTATCCCTTGTCGCCTCACGTCTCGTCCGTCTGGTTTACCACCAGAACCTGAACGATCACTTTCTTGCTGCATCATTTTTCCCGAGCATATATCCAACAATCTATCCAAACATGGATTTAAACATGACATCGTCCGCTGACCATCTTTCGGCCCAGGAGCTGGAGACTCTCTCCACCAAAGCTATTTCTGCCAAGGACGTTGCGTACTGTAAGTCCGAGATATGTGCTGTTTCCTAACCCCCTCAACCTTCATTCTGAACGCGACGTTGAATGCATGTTCCAAAACTTCTGGTTTTCATGTGTCTTATAGATTACTAAAAAGCTTAGATAGGCCCTTATTCAAAGTTCCGTGTTGGAGCCTGTGTTTTGACGCAAACAGGCGAGTATTTTCACGGTGCCAACGTAGAGAACGCTGCCTATCCTGTTGGGACCTGTGCAGAAAGGGTTGCATTGGGGACCGCGGTTGTGAGTTACCTCTGCTCTTCTTCTATGCTTTGCCTTCCTTGCTGCAAGTTGCTGCAGGCCACTGCAAGCTTAGGACTCGCTCTACAAATCACTATTTGCTCAGCTACTTACTCAGGCTGGCCAGCTCATATCTGTCCTCGTTTTGCTGTGTGACTTTTAGGCGGCACCACGCTCTGGAAATTCTGTCCAACTTGAAGACATAGCTGACGTATTGGACTGATCTGCAGGTAGCTGGGCATCGAGACTTCAAAGCAATTGCTGTTGCAACAGACATTGAACCAGCAGCATCACCTTGTGGCATGTGCAGACAGTTGTAAGTTGATTCTATGCTTGAAGCCATCTCTTTTCAGTCTCTACACTCATGAACGACATGACTTTCTTGTTTGGTACCTGTACTTACCTTCACTAAACCGATGACTAACAAGCGGACAACAGCATACGTGAATTTTGCACTTCATCATTTCCCATCTTTATGTATGACGGGCAAGGAAATTTTACTATGAAAACTATCGGAGAGGTAATTACACTTAGTGTTCACTGTTTTTCATCTTATCAGTCACCATGCTTTTTTTGTCCAATGTATCCTTGAAAGGGTGTACTGACATATATCTGACTTGCAGCTTCTGCCGGACTCATTCGGCCCAGACGATTTGCCTGGAGCCAAGGAGCAATCTTAGGTCCCTACTTTCAACCTAGGCCTCTTTCATTTCCAGGTCCGGTGCGATAGTATGGAACGCGTCTCCTTAACGCAGACCTGACAGTCTTACTGGGTCCATGAGACGCACTTCCCCTCTCTGGGTTGGCTTCAATTCCATGGTAATTTAATACTCATAACTACTAAAGTTCGCAAAGTGGCCATATATGATTGCTGAGCAGAGCGGCCTTGTCAATTCAGGACTTTGTTTGTAGGTCGAGGAGCGCGCCTTTTTGGACGTCGGGCTAGTGGCCAGTGAACTGGGACCCAGGGCCACGATAGTATTCTTGCCTCATAGTCGTAAAGACCTCATCTCCTTGGAAACATTTTCTGATATATCACCCTGACTGTATATGTCAACCTGGTTAATATATCATACACTTCTGGCACGACATGATCCAGAAGCACCCACAGAACATATCAACGTCAGATTAATACTACACAAAGTATGTAAGGGACTATGACCTTCATAAGCAACACTTACGATCAATGAATGCATGACACCATACAAATACCCTTTTCAAAAAAGATTCGGGCTATTGCCCAAATGGGAATCTATCATTCAAAGACTAAAAAGAAGAGCAAAGATAATCAAGTCAACCTAGCATGAGTGACAAGTACAAAAGAAAGGCGAACAGGGGCCCTTCCTACATCTTCATACTATAACATGAAACCATAGAAAAGCCATCAAGCTTGTCGAAGAGAGCGCAGATGAGCTCTGCCACTAGAGCTCATCTTCCTCGTCAATTTCGGCATCTTCCACCCCAAGAAGCTCATCCTCATCATCGACAACGCTAGTGTAATCGCCTCGTCGGGCTGCAAAAGCACCCCGAGACGAGTAGGGTCGTGTATAGCCTCCACTGCGCCTGAGACGCAAAACACCGCTTGCACTTCGCCATAAGCTAGTCGCCAAAAGCGGCAAGGATTTAGCAACAGCCACCGCGCCCGCGATTATGGTGACGGGAATAGTTATGAGCAGCGAGTCTCGCGACAGCAAACCAGAAGAGGTGCTAACATTCTCTCCAAGGCGAATTTGACCGAATTTGCCGTCCCATCTGGTATAGACATAGTATCCAACAGCACCGGCCACAGCGATGGGTGTCACAATGGCAAAGAACAGTCCAACTCCACCGATGCCGTGTCTACGTTGATATTCCTCCTTTTTATTTGGGCAGGGCTTCGACGCCAGATGGTCTAACTCCAATCCCCCTTGACAAGTCGTTTGGGGCAGGCGCCGGTATCCTGTGGGCTCCCAGTATTCGACACGATCGGGATCCACCTTACAAACAGCCATCGCATCCGGTGGGAACAATCCCTTGACGAGCCCGCAGCTACCATCACTCAAAGGTTCGTAGTTATAGTCACTGTTCAGTGTTAGCAAGCCATTGTTCGCTTCCGAGCTCACATTGATCCAATTGGAGCAATTGGTAAATAAGTCCTACCATTCAAAGTCGGATTTGGTACAGCTGCAGTTCCTCCCTATGCTGTGAATGTGGGGCTCACGCCAGTCGTTCCAACATTGAGCAGCGGGTTTCTTGCGATGATACTGTTCAACATGACCAAACAAGCAGTTATTGTCTTCAAAAGGGTGGCTTGGCTCCCAAATGTAGTAATCGTCGGTGGCTCCACTATCTTCGTTCAACTGGCATGAGGCGGCCCTGAGTTTACTAAAGTCAATATTGACAGTCGCGAGTTTATCTCGATTCTCCGACTCCGCATCTTTACCCCAAAGAAGGAAATTTTTCGAAGTATCAGACGGGACAGTCGAGATGTCTTCGATCTGCATTGGAACATCCGAAAACTGGTATTCTTCCCAAGTATCACCTTCGTCCGTACTGTAATAAAGTACTTTGGTCGGTATTGACTCACGCACAATCACGACAACAGAACCAGAGTCACCAAATTCCCACAGATACCGGCCTTGCTTCACAAACTTCCAAGTGAAGCCAGCATCGCGTGTGATGAATGTATCTGGCTCGCCATCGCTAGCCAAATGATCGCCCACATTACCTATGCCGACCATCAGGCCAATTGCCGAGCCAGACGAATATGTGTCTCTTTCATCCCTGCGCTCTGTATAGCCATGAAGGTGGAGCGAGCAACCCGGAATCCCATTTCCTTCTTCCACGGCACAACCAAACTTTTGGCCATCCGCATCTTTTGGGGGGGGAGTAACATCCACCGGCCTCCGTCATTGTGAGTGATCATGGTTCTCAGCTTCTTCGATTCACCGGAAGAAAGCCTGTCCACATTGCTGACAACATTCGCAATAGCAACACCTTCGAGTCCCTGAACTTTCTCGAAATCAACATAGCCACGATGGTCCCGACTCACTGCGCCTAGGCTGAGCACGTAAGAGGTCCCGTTACTATTACTTTTTATGATGGAGCCGTACTCGCCTCCTTCAACATTGCTCACAGTCACATGCAAGAAAACAGCATGAGTAGAGCTTTCGAGAACAGTATAGGCTGTCTGGATAGGAACATCAAGGTTTGGAGGAAAGTGTGCTTCCGCAAAGGTCCGGCCATCCACACTACTGCTCGCAGTCAGGGATTCCGGCTTTTCCGGGTTTCGAGACGCTACCACAACGAATTCGGACATTGTGGCATAATTTATAACATCCTCGAAATGGACACGTCGATCGGCAAACTCATTTTCGCTGGATAAGAGTTGCAATCGGTTGTTTCGATTTTCACTTTCGAACTGCTCACAGAAAATCAATTTATTGCTGTCGGGACGCGTCTCTCGACTCTCGAACTCGCATTTCTGAACATAGCGGAGAAGAAGTTTCCAATTTTCGCCACGATTCTGGCTGATATGGGCATTGGAATGGCAATCGCCAGACTCACAATCCACAGCACCGGTCCATATAAGCCAGTCTTTATACTGTGGGTGAAACGAGATTGTCGGGACACGGTCATGAGTAGCCGGGATCGGTGCCTCAAAGTGTTTGAATGTCTGAGCGCGATCAACCGTCCAGAATGCCTCCTTGCCGTCAGTCAGGAGAAAGGCTGTGTCACTGCTATACGGATGAGGTGCAATTCTGGTAATTTTCTTCCCTTGCAATGACTGCTGCCACGTCTTACCGTGGTCATGCGAGAGATATAGGTTGTGTGCACTTGTCAACATGATGACAGTTTCGTCAGTCCCTGAGTTGCTGGACTGGCGTTCCAAGTAATAGTATGCGCTGAATTGCTTTGCGTCAAAGAACTGTTTCGTATGGCTGATCTTGCCATTGCTATCAGGAGAATTTCCCACGTCTTCACATGACCACTCAATCTGATCATCCATGTTCTTGCCGCCTTCTCGGATGCAGGAATTTCCCGGAATGAGCCTCCAACCTGATGGACCCAAATATTTATCGGTGGGGTTTGTGCATTTGCCCTCTGGAGGTCTTGGGGTTTCAGCAGGCTTACAGCTTTGCCCATCTTCGCTGCGTTGTTCGCACTCGTAGTCTTCGGCCGTACATTTGCATGGTTCTAGGATCGGCTGAGGGTCTTTGAACTCCTCATCCACAAAACAATTTGCATTGGCCTTCCTGCGCCGATAATATTGTTTGTGGCCCATCAAACAATCAGGTTCACCTTTCTCATTCAATCTGGCCGGCCACTTTTCGAAGTCATCCTGACCACATTTTCGTTCGTGGAGGCCCTTGAAATCAATTGAATACACAATGTAGTCGCCATCACCATTCTCCTGCCCAACGAGAACAAACTTTAGGCTGGTAGAGTCGGGAGTCGTTGTGACCATGGTGGGTTGAATCCTGTGTTCTAGATCAATTGATTCCCACTCCTTGCCATGATCGAGAGAGAATTTGACCTTTTTCGCCTTCCCAGTATCACTGACCGCCATTATCACAGCACCCTGGTCACCGAATTCGTATTTATAGGGCCCGTCAAGAGCATGCTGCCAAGTTACTCCTGCATCGTCTGAAACAAACAGGTCTCCATCATTGTATTTCTTGAGGCTGTCGCCTGTGTTACCGACACCCATGACTACTCCCGGCGCCGGACTCGAGAATACCCGGCCAATATTCGCGAAAGTAGTCACCGAGTGTAGATGCAGATGTTTGTCGCCCACTTTGAGCGGTTGGAAGGTTCTTCCATCATCAAAGCTTATTTGGCTGATAATTTTCTTTTCGGAGCCTGACTCAACCTTTTCAGGATTCTTGACCGTGTTGACCAATACGATGCCCTGAATTCCAGCAACTTTTTCAAAATCCACAATACCGGCTTCATTGCGATTGGTGTGCTCGATATTGCGAGTAAAGAATGTACCGTTCGAGTTTGAGGTAAATAGCACGCCCATGCCACTGAAAGGGCTGGTCAAAACATCCACCTGCAGGCTGTAGTTGGTGCTTTCCAGCATGGTGTAGGCATCTTGTTCTATCCTGTGACCGCCAAACTCTGCCCGACTCCAAGTAATTGTATCAGTGGTCACGTATAAAGCAAGCTCGTCGGTTCCCTTTGACTTAACAGCAGCAACGACAAACTTCTTGACAGCAGCGGTACTGATGACTCCAGAGATTGGCCGGTCTGCGTGTAGTTTCACTTCTATGCCATCAGTACTACTGCTGAAATAATCGTCGGAGTACACCAGACGGTTAGCATGACCAAAGGGCACCTTCAAGCCTGGGACAACGCATAGCGTTCTGTCGACAATGTGATCGAAAGATGGGAGATTATCCGCGAAATCTGGATGGCCAACGGCCCAAGAGCATCCGGCAGCGCTCTCGCGCAACAGCTTAGTCGTTTCGAAGTCGTTCGTCGTATAGTATGATCTCACGATGCAGAAAAACCCGGCGCATTCCTCGCTTTGGAAGATAATCTTGCTCGAATCCCAACCATGGAAGACAAGAGGTGCGTGTTGCTGTAACGCTGGGAATTCGTCAATTGTGAAAGCATCCCAGGTTTTGCCTTGGTCCTTCGTCTTGAAATGACGCCCATCGTTGCCCAGGGCATAAGCTTTGTTCTTGTCGAAAGGATGTTGTTGAACCCAAACCACCCGCTGTTTCATGCCTTCGCCCTCTCCAATAGCCGGCGCCCATTGTTCACCTCCATCAAATGACTGGAAGATATCACCGTTCTCCAGGCTCATGAGGACGTTATCCGTGTCCTCGAAGTAGAAAAGGGACACCGGAGCGAAGTCAAATTTCGTCGTGGTGACTTTGGGCTCTCCGGCTGATTTTGCAATGCTGGGCCGCAGCATGAGAGCCAGCGTCAGGTAGCCCACTAGCAGGAGCCATCGGGACGCCATCGCAACGATCTCTATAACATTGGCGATGAGACAGCGAACAAGGGCGGAATACCCCCAGAAAGGCTGCACCAAACAGAGTAGTTTGCACGAAGAGCGAGAGCCAGAGAGGATTCCGACTGCTTGTCAAGTTCTGTCGAATAGGCGTACCAGGTCCAGTGAATAAAAGAAACCGAAGGATAGCACAGACGGAAATGGAATCGGCATAGCTGTCGCTGCGTGGCCGAAGACGAGCTCCCTGATCACGTGTCGGCTCGTATCGCTTATCGAGGCACTAATGACCTCATGCAGATAGCGGTAGCAGATAAGCTTAGCTGCCACTCAGTACGTACAGTGCTCCCCACCTTCGAAGCGCTTTCAAACGGGTGGAGCTGTCATACTATGTACATCTTACCTAGGAAATTCTGAGACTGACGTTCAATGCATTCAGTCAGACCAACGAAAGTTATTATATATGAGGCCCTAAGGTCATGTGCTTGAAAGGGCTACCTAGCACCCAGATGTAACTATACGAATAGGATAAATCACGGTATAACTCAAGTGTAGCGACGCCCGCACCCACAGTAATTCTGATTCCGTTCCAACCTCATCTAACGGTGCCATGGACACAATCACCTGTGTATGCAAGCTACAGGGGCATCGGATGAGATAGAATCTTGGCTGACCTGAAATGGAAATATATTTCAACATACAAGCACTTGCGCCCCATATATCATTTTAGGCCTGGATGCTATTCATATCAAAGATTATTGAGCACGACCTGCAGAGCAGCAGTGTTAGAATCCTCCCTGCGAGAAACATAAGCCCTGACTTCCTGAACACTGAGGCCTGTATCCTCTTGAGTGGGACCTCCAATTCCACGTCCTGGGCCTGTAGTGGCGTTACCATTACCAGTATTTCCGCCGGCAGCGCTGACTGCGCCCCCACGTATGCGCTCCTGCAATGCTTCAGAGCCAATGACGAAAAGGTTTCCGACTTCTAGTAGGACATCTAGCGCACCACCCGGACCTTTTACCCGCTCCTCAATATCCCAGCTTTTCAAAAGATCGGTATACTGTGTCATATCCTTGGTTACAATGAGACCTCCTGGCCCATTCACAACAAACCGCTTGAAATGTTCAAGGAGAAGACTTCTTGTCCCAAGAACAATCTCTGTAAGCAACTGGCGGAGGTTAGAGCCACTAGGTGGTAGCGAGCCCTTGAGAACGTTATGCGCACGAGCCAAGAAGGTACAAATTGACGCACATGTCTGGGATCGATTAGTACACGTCCTGAGAGCACTTGAGGTAACGGGCTTGCGGGAAAGGCATAGCGCAGTGACTAACCGGTGTTTGTAGCCTCTCTAACCAAGTCGCATTGTCACCCTCCTTTGGTCGAAAGTCATTTTTCTTCTGACCAGAAAGAAGTTTGTTCACCCAGGCTAACGTCGCGTCAATGACCTTCTGCTCTATAGAATTTATCTTCTCCTCAATTCGTATTGTGATCAGGTTCGTTTTTTTTCCATTTCTCGGCGAATTGTGATACTGCCTGCAGCAAGAGGGATAAGTAATGTGTTAATGCACATGACCATTAAGTTGGCGACACTGATGGCGTTCCGAATGGCCGGTATATACCCGAAATCAGGCTCAGTTCTGCCTGATTCCTGGGATGCGGCTACATCCAGAGCGGCGTCTAAGCAAACTTCAATATAGCCCTCTCCCATCATCGCGAGAAGAAGGCTCAGAAGAGCAAGCATATCCTTGGGCGTCTCGCTTGTCATGCTGAGCTCTAAGCCTCTACCAACTGCTTCGGCAAGCCATTTGAGCATTCTCTTTGCATGAGCAATGTTGGGGAGACCGTCATCTTCTGTAAGCTTGATGTCTGTAGGTTTACTGGGATCAGTGGCTTCCCTTAGACCCGCCAATCGGAGTAAAAGCATCTTCTGTGTTGCAGGAAGCTCGGAGGACTCAAGGCGTGCAATATATGCATCTCTTGCGGAGACAAGAACCTCCGTGCCTGCTTTGGAGAGAGATGCCATAAACGTTGTCACCGCTTTCTTCCTGCGAGCGTGGAAAGTGGTGAACCTGAATTGTAGGGAGGTATATAATTCTTCCAAATTCCTTCTCTCTCTTTCTATGTAAGATGAACCCACAAAATAGGGCACAAACAGATCCTCCAGTTGCTGATCGAGAATGAGGGCTGTCTGTGACGAGATAGGGTCGGGATGTTCAGTCAATCCATGAGCTTTCAAGTCATCGACTAAGGCGCTTAGATAACTGCGAGAACTTTGTAGAGAACGTAGAAACGCCAGTGATGAAACACTGTTCGCCTTATCCAAGACCATCTCGAGTCTTTGTTGAATCGACTGCTGGAAAACTCGCTGCAGGAACTTTCCGAGTACTTGTTCGTAGTACGGGAAGGCCCTTTTGATGATCGCGGACTCTTCTTGCACCACAACTTTGACTTCATCAATGAGTGACTGTAGGCTGGGCTCCACTTTTGACGGTTCAGCGTCGGGGTCTGCAAGCATTTCCCAGGCTTCTGGATCTCCTCCCACTTCTTCGGTCACAAGCTGGCTGCGGTCAATAAAGAACTGATGTTGGTTCACAAACAAAGCAATCACACTTGCACCACCATTGAAATCTTGGAGTACTGTTGCGCAATCCTTCATGCCTTCAAAATTAGCTTTCCTGTAGAAATCATCGAATTGCTTCAACAAGTCATTCTCTAGCGTCTCGGAGAACTTCTCAATAATTTCTCGCGTATTTGGCCGAATGACATTGCCCTTTGTGCTCCCGGACTCATCTGCTATAGTTCCATTTGCGTGGGACCCGTTATGTCTTCCCGCTACTTCGCTCCAACTTTCAGTGTCAAGTCGCTGGCTGATTCTGAGCAACTGGCGCGCGATCTGTGCCGATCGAACCTTGGCCTCACCTGTTCCTGACCTTCTCAAATTCTCCAAAAGGGTTAACTCCCCTCTGTTGCTCACACCATCCCAGCATTCGAGGAGAAAGTGTGCGTCAAGCGCCCGACGCCTTTGACGATCTAATTCCTCGAGCTTACGTCCTGTCTCGACAGCCATATTGCCTGTGCTCTCGGAAAGCTCTCCTCCAGATAACCCTGCGCCATTGAGCGACGTATCGAGTTGCTGGAAAGATTCGATGGTTTGACTTAATTTTCGTCCTAGGGTGTTCAGATTCTGAGTATGCTGTGCCTCTGCCCTGCGGACTGCAGCAGATAATTCATTTTCTCTTATCTCGAGGTCGCCTGATATATCACCTAGTCGCCGCTGCGCATGCTCAAACGTCCGAATCAGCGGTTTGGGGTCAAACGGCTGGCTTCCACCTCCTGATGCTCCTGTAGGTCGCCGAGTGTTTACTGCATTTTCGGAAAGGGATTCAATAAACTCCTTCACAATGAAATCACGGCTAGAGAAGTCTTCGAGTGTGAAGCCGGGACCTTGAGGAAATACCGGACGGGACACAGCATTGGGAAGGGGATTTGTTGACACATCGTCCGGCATATTCTGGTCTGTCGGCAGGATCCTCCCACATTGGCATTAGCTTTATGCTGGTAGAGGAGTCGCGATCATTGACTTAGCAGTCCAGGGACAAACTGTATCTGCAGCTCGAGTGCAGCCACGGAACGTGCGGAGTACGGAGTAGACGAGGTAGCTTGCTTCCTCATAACAGTGATGGACAGCCTCGCCCCGCAGTTGATTACATAAACGATAATCTTAAGCCATAGTTATATGTACGTGTATTTGTTCTGGATGAACACCTCGCGCTTGATCACCGTGTCTCGGGGCAAATAAACAGCGTATGTATCCGCCTGTTCCTGCAGTCGTGTTGAGGCTTTGTTTCCTGGTTCCGCAATAATCTCCAGATTACTCCGTACTGTATGGCCATCCAGAAGACGCTCAAAGGTTTTTGTGGCTGGTTCACATAAGTTAACTAGCAGCCTGCAGGGCGCTTTACCCATTTTTGACCTCTCACCAACCGTCGCAATCACTTCGCACATATTCATGTACATCTAAAAGAAAACATGGTCTCGCAACATGACAGAGAGCTTTTTCGCAACGATGTACGCTCTCGAGGGATCAAGCTCAGTGCTGCTGACCGGGAAAACATTTTGAGGCCATATCTCCCAGACCCCTCTGACCTCCAACGAGGGTCACCGCAGCGGCAGAACAAAGCTCACCGAAGGGCTCCTGTACGAACTTTCGTCAAGGCACAAATCCACCGTATTGTATACACCTTCGTTCATATCATCTTTGGAATCATAATTCGGCTCCTTCAAAGCTACCATGCCACCGTGGACCGGATATGCGCAGTCATATATTATCACCATCGAACCCCTGAATTGATCAGGAAAGATGTGAAAGGCCTCAAGCGCCTACCCGAACACTTGAGTATCATCCTGTCGCTTCGCAAGGAGGATGACGCCCTTAGCGTTTTGATGGACGAAGTTGCGGAGCTTGCAGCTTGGAGCGTGAGTGCCGGAATACCAGTGTTGAGTGTTTACGAAAAAAGCGGTAAGTAGACCCGGCCCTTGACGTCAATTTACAGAGCTATGCCAGTGCTAAATGCTGATGAATTGGATGACATCCGCAGGGGCTCTGAAATCCTGCATTCCTATACTTCACCAGGCTATCACAAACAAAATGTCTTCTTACTATGGCTCTCCTATTCAACAACCCCGGTTGCGTCTATTTGCGCCCCATCATCCTGTCTTTGACCAGCTGCCACAAGATGTCGCTAGTGATTGCAACAATGGATCCTTGACGGTGCTTCTGCTCTCCGCCACTGATGGCAGGGAAACCTTTGTCGACCTGACTAAAACTTTGGCGGAGATGTCTCAGGGCGGAAAATTGTCACCCGAAGATATTAACTTAGAATTGGTCGATGCAGAAATTAGTGAGATTACTACTCAGCCGACTCGGCCAAGTTCGCGAACCTCGAATGACAACAACAAGGCTTCGGACCAGTTCAGGTTTGTCGCAAAGCCTGAGCCCGACCTTTTGCTAGTATTCGGCGCCTTTCTAAAACTAGACGGATACCCTCCTTGGCACGTTCGACTGACCGAGATGTTTTGCACTGGCGGTAGAAGTAGGGGGACCAATACATCTGAAGAAGCAGTTGAATATCATGGCTTTCTACGGGGACTCTGGCATTATGCTGGGGCTCAGATGAGGTTCGGCCGTTGAAAGTGTTGAGAATGATCACGGGGTGGTCTGTGTATACACCAGCGCAGCATCTAGATCTCTTTATCAGGTTTAAAGTCATTATCAGTGTCTCACAACCAACTTCTTGCTGGAGGATCAGCGCCCAGATAGACAAGACCCGAATAAGTCGAAACGCGGAAGATCAGCCACATTCAAGTAAGATTATACTAGGTTTCTTTGTAAGATTTCTCGAGCAAGGTGGGCTGCTCCATAACGACCACTAATCCTAGAATCTCCAGGTGATCACTGGCCGGAAGATATATTCAACCGATGAAACTATCTATGATCATTGTTTGCGCCTTGCTCACATATTTATTGATGCTTGCTTTCTGATCATGGGCTCTCTCCACCTGTTGTTCTACTCCAGGGTGGGAGATTCTTTTCATATGTCTTGCTAGTAATCATCGCACCCCCTTCCTGCTTGAAGCCATAGGGCAAGACAATACGATGCCGAATTGCCTTGTTAGTGGTCTGCTGGTGATGCCTGCTCACTGCATGCGTTCAACGCTGCTGTAAGCATCCTTGATAACCGGGATATCTAGGCAGGCCCCCTTTCCTCAGGGTTTTGGATGTTACAGTCATAATAGGCTCTCATTCAGCATCAGGGGACTCGTAGCGAGCGCCTTCAGTCGAATGAATTCCTTGTGGCTAACATTCCCACTCTTGCTGCTTGCTTGGGCGCACAGCGAAAGGGGCGCCTGATCTTACGAGACGTCTTTATAAATCCAAGTCTTCTCCTACCCAGGTGGAATAGTTTCCATCGAGGCGTCGTATTTAGCACACAATCAAGACACCTTGCCACTACAGCACCTGTTTCATTCAGACCTTCAACTGCACGTGATGAGCAGATTCTTCGTGATCGAGTTTACCTTCCCATGCCACGAGCATCCTCGTTTATAGAGCCTGACGCTTCGTTCCGGTAGCATTAGAATTACAGCCGGTGTCAATAGCAGTTATCCTCTGACAAGTCCAAAGCAGAGCGTAACAGGATTCGGAAACGCGGTCATGTGCCGTATACTTACGTACAGTACATGTGCAATAATACAAAGTTTCCAGTACACTGTTGTACTGAGCCTATACTTACATGAAATTCAGACATTGGCAAAGATGGAAAATCGCCTGGCTTAGTAGTGCTGATGCTGGGCTTGGCACAAATAAATTGACAAGCTCTACGCAGTTCTAGACGTCTGGAATGAGGAATTAACTTGCGTCCGTACCGTACAAATAGAGATAGATTCAAAACATATTGCTGACTAGGGTGGCTTGCCCCAGCCGTAACTTAACTCAAGGTGCGAACGAAGCAAGTACAGTAGGTACGGCTGCTTGGCAGCCCACCTCCTGATTATCCCTCTTTCTACTTTTCAACCCCGACAGGATGTAAGACTTGAAACTCACCTCCTCGACCGAACGTCTCGAATAAACATACTGCTTAGTTCGAGCATCAATCAGGCTTTGATCAAATCCAGAGACTAAAACACCACACAAAACAGTCTCAATGGAGAATAGCATATCGGAACTTGTGGAGAGGTTAGGGAGCGATGAAGATGGAGTACGCAAAATGGCAGTTTTCAAGCTGCAGAGCAGCATTGGCGACCCTTCTTTCGCCGATATATTCATTGCGGAAGGCGGACTTGTCAGGCTACGCTATCTGATCTTACATGCAACTGGTAACACATTGGCATATAGCCTGACAAGCTTCGCAAGACTACTAGAAGTCGATAAGGGCTGGGATTTCGTAGACCAGGAAGTGGTCGAAAGAGTAGGTGGCCCAATCAAGACCTCGTCAATGTATCGTCAAATATTGGTTGTATAATGACTGACTGGTAGTCATTGTATCTCAGGTTGTTGAGCTCATTGTGACACACCCCCTTGTCAATATCTTAAGGGGCGCTATGTCTATACTGGTGTCCATAGTGTCACACCCGCACGCAGGCGATGATATTATGCAGACTGGAAGCTTCGGATCTCGCGCGCTAAAGCCTGCAATTGCCATCTATCCGCAGTTCCTGGAGATGCTTGTCAGCAGACTATCCTCCGCAGACCATGCGCTTTGCGCCAATGCATTGCAACTGATTAATTCACTCATGCGTGACTCCGTCACAAACGATACAGATTTAGAATGGCCAAAATTCATTCAAAGGCTACAGGACATGGGAGTCATACGGGCAGTATACTCCCTGATGCAAGGAAGTGCCATGCAGGACCACATACATCCACTGATCGAGTTCCAATATCTTACCAAGGTTCTTTTGCGGAAATGGCGAGATATTGCACTGGATTTGGAGAAGCCAGAACATAGAAGAGCGTTGAAGGGGATTTACGTGGCTAGTTCTTTGGAACGAAGTCGTGACAAGGGCGCTGAAACCGGGGAGGATGTTCGTCGATCTAAACGCCATGACCCAGAAAAGTGGCGGCGACTTGGCTTCGAAACCGAAAGTCCAGTGATGCAATTTGAATGTACAGGCTTCCTGGGACTCATGGACTTGGCAGATTATGTCAAAAACAATCAAGATGAATTCCAGAAAATCATACTGGAGCAATCGACAAGGCCAGCAGATCAACGTTGTCCAATTGCTCGTGCTTCGTTGTCCGTCACCTGTATTCTCTACGATTACTTTGAGGTCGACAGATCAGAAATAGAAGATATCAAAACATCCTTGCTGATAGATTCTCGCTTGAATGTTGAAAGTCTATTTCAGCCTCTACTGTTACACTGGACGCGATTGCATGTCGCTGGGCTGCATGCGTTCTTCCGTCTGTGGAAAACCACGGGTGCCGAGATTGAAGATTATGATAAGATCGTGGAGCTCGTTCGTGTGCTTCTTGAATCGATCGTCGGTAGGGCGCCTCGCACCAAGGATGTGCAAGATGTGGAGGAAGACATAATCAATTTTGACTACAGGCGCCTTCGTGAGTTACAGATGGAACTAATGGAGCTTACGTACGAAGATGCTTGGGGGCAACATCTACGAACTATGCGCGGAGAGCTATACCACGAGGCCCTTCAATTTGTGAAAGAGCAGCGCATAAGATCTCTGCTTCGAGGCGGTTGGTTTCCGAACGAAGACGATTTGGACTTGGAACTGGCATCGAAAAAGTCCTCCTGGAGGTATATTCAGCTATCGCATAATCGGCGATTTCTGCACTTTGGTGACTTCGACCATCGGCAGGAAGTAAGTCCTCAAGTAGACGTTCTACCAAATAAAAGTGAGTATGCCCTTCCTAGCACTTACTCCTCGCTTTGAGCTTTATTGAACACTTACTGTATCGCTCAGTTGACCTCTCCATTGTGTCTTCCGTGGTATCCAACGTCTCGAAGCTGTCTGATGAATACTTCCCATCAGCGATGAAGACTCCGCCGCATAACAACCCTTCTATGAAGATAACAATTCATGGCCTGCCTGATTATACAGCAAGGACGAAGGGCAGCACACAAGACGCCAGCCATTATTCTCGACAACTCAGCAAGTCTTTGCCCGGGGAGTGCATACTGCTAAACTTGCATCCACAGTCCCCCAGCCTAGCATCAGAGTGGCTCGATGGTTTACTAATGCTACTTAACCAGCAACCTATCACGGCAGAAACAAGCAAATTAATAGAACTAATTAGCGACTATGGGCTCAAAATCCGTCTATTGAACGTTCGCTTCGATGACCTAGCACTCGTCAGTGAGACACCGGGCGTCCCTTCGCGTGAAGGCCTCGACAATGATTTTTATTACGATGTCTTTGGGGGTCCTTGATGGGTTCGTTTACTATATGCATTGACCATACATATATTAAGAAGACATAACATGGTCTTCTCTCTAGTAATCCATAATGCCAAGTATGTTACCTACGTAGATCTCGCCTCTTTCATAAATCTTATTTACCGAGTGGCTTCTTCAAGTACATACATGTAGTAATGTACATAAAGTTACAACCTCAGGCTACAGAAAATACCTAGCAATTGTTCGGCTCGGCAGAACTATCCGGCCACGGTTCGGGACACAGTTGGACCACCAATCTCCCGAAGCTCTATCGATAGCCCGGAGCTCAGGGTGCTATGATCAGGCCTGGCCTCGCTGACGATTCTCGCCCCCTGCAGTCATTGTATCGTCCTCATCCGTCCTCTTTCCGTTTGATCACTCGTCATGAGCCGCATCCTTCCATCCAGGCCATGGTCACGTTAATTTCCATGGACAACAAACGGACGTACATGTACCCAGCTTAGCTACAGCATAGGTTGTGATGAAGCTGGGGAGACCACAGCCTCTGCGACGACAACCATTCTGGTCTGTTCGCTTGTCTCAGTCCTTGTTTTGCTTGATTGGTTCTTCCTTCAGTCAAGCTAGAGGCGGCGTTCACGATAGCGAGGATGAAGCGCAAAGCACCTTCAGATCTCTCTTTAACACAATCCACCCCACTCGGATTTTGCGACCCTGCAAATTCCGGCCAAAAATCTCGTCCTGAGACGGATGATTATGCGAAGACGAATATAGTAATGGACGCACCAGGCCCATTTGACGACGTCATTGAAGATGACTATGACTCTTTTGATGAGATATTTACACAACATTTTGCAGACGATGGTACCTGTCTACGCGAGGACATCACAAATGTTGCCAACGATCGGGAAGGTGCTCGTCCATTTCATCAGAAGGAACTGCACTATAGTCAAAGCTCCTCCAACACTACCAAACGATTTGTCATCCACCCCGTTTGTTATTCCCAACCTCGACTCTTTCGCTCATTCAATGTAGATCATGCAGACTTGCCGTGGGCTCAGAGATTCCCTCCAGAAGATATAAGTGAACTGGCAGTCCATAGCAGGAAGATCTCCGATGTGAAAACTTGGCTGAATAATGCATTTTCTGGGACGGGTGAACGGGTATGTAGCCTGGCTATTTGTTGAATGCCTCCCTTTATCATGTTTTCGACTATGTATAACATCGAGTCCAAACTATTCATTACTGACAATGGCGGAAGTTACTTATCCTCCGTGGTCCTTCGGGAAGTGGCAAGACAACCACAGTTTCCATTCTGTCAGAGACTCTGGGGTTTGAGATACTTGAATGGAGAAATCCAGCGGCATCTGACTCTGTCACCAACTTGCCGAATTCCGTCGCCTTACAATTTGATGATTTTCTGGAGAGGGCTAATGAGCTCCCTGGCCTCGACCTTGACCTGCCGAGCAATTTCTCTGAAGTTCATAGGGGCGCCATAGAGGGCTTTTCGCCGCGACGGCGTTTAATACTGATTGAGGAATTCCCTTCACTAATAACGCAATCTTCTAATCTATCTCTGTTCAGAATGGCTGTTCAGCGGTACCTAGTGACGGCAGGCTCCGCTCGAGAGATGGACATAGTGCCCTGCTCTCCAATGGTCATAATTATCTCAGAGACACTTCTCGGCTCGTGCTCTTCCTTTTCAGATAACATCACAGCTCATCGATTGCTAGGCCCGGCGATCTGCAATCATCCAGGAACAAGAATTATTGACTTCAATAGTATAGCTCCCACGTTCATGTCCAAAGCCTTAAATTTGATCTTAGAGAAGGAAGGCCGCGTTTCTAAATCTGAACGAGCACTATCACCCGCTACAATGCGCAGCCTCTCCCAGAACGGGGATATTCGAAGTGCGGCTGCCAGGCTGGAATTCATCTGCCTGAAGTCCAGTAATTTTGCCGAGATGAAGAAACCGTCTAGGGTCAAGAAAGCCTCCCGGAGAGCACCCACTCTTACTCCGGTAGAGGAACAGGCACTCGAGCTCATCGCCCAACGAGAGACCTCTCTGGGGTTGTTCCATGCTGTTGGGAAAATTGTGTATAACAAGCGTGACGATTCAAGCTCTAAGAAAGATGGACAGCCTGTTATGCCACCAAGCTACTTGCGTCATTATGGACGGCCGAGAATATCACAGGTGCAGGTCAACGAACTATATAATGAGACGGGTACCGATACACAAACTTTCATCAGTACTTTGCATGAGAACTATGTTCCATCTTGCGAAGGTGCCTCATTCACAGAGTGCCTTGACGATTGCATTAGTGCGCTTTCGGATAGCGACTTGTTGTATCCTATTTCCAAAAGGACAAATAGGTCCTTCATACATGCAACTAGAAATAGTGCTGCGGTTGAGACTTTGCGGCAGCAAGAAATCAGCTACCAAGTTGCTGCTCGTGGGCTACTATTCGCCCTTCCTTATCCAGTGTCACGAAGGAGTCCATTTAATGATGGTGTTGGGACTCCAAGACATGGCCAACAACTTCTTTACCCGACTTCTTTGCGGTCACTGCATATTATGGAGGAGGTTGAGGGCCTCGTAGCTTTGTGGTCAAGCAGGCTCTTGAGCTCGATTAGTTACCCTGCCCCAGGCTCAATAGTTGAATCTACTACTTCCCTCAGCGAGAAGGAGCTGGGCACTAACAACAAGTTCATTCACGAGGGCGCTCGGAATGTAGGCCAAACAGTGACAGCAACCATGATACCGCGCAGTGACCTTATACTTCACCAATTGCCGTATATGGCATGTTTATTCAGAGAAACCAGTGAAGGCCAGGAGCTCGCAAAGGTTACGAAACTCACCAGGCTCCAGCCGCAGGCTTCCAACAAAGCACATACCTTCTTCGGTGAACTAGGGGCACCTGGTGCGAATGTCGGACTATTGGGAGAAATACCGAAAACAAGGATTCGAGGCTGGGATAACACTTTAGAGTCCCATCTACCGTCTGTGACTGATGAGAGAGAGCTTACTCTGAGTGATGATGAAATCATAGACGACAACTGAGAACTTGTCTCAATGATCTTGCCATGCTTGGTATCCTTGCCTGATTCAAGCGTTTGGGTTTCTGCCACATGACTTGGTGTAAAGTCAAGCCCGACTGCGAACAACAATCCTTCGGTGCATGCTCTTATCAACCTTTTGTTTACCCGAAACACTTTTCCTTCGGATAAATAGAATAGCATTAGCTCTAATAGTACGGGTCTAGGACAAAGCTTTGCTCAAGGTCACGTATCAGTCACAGAATCATTTGTTAGGCATGATATACGGTTTGCTTCCATCTTGGAAGACGCTGGTGGTAGAAGCTGTTCCACTGTCAGTGCAGTTGCGTGGTATACATATACGGGGCCTGAATATACAGCAAGATTCTTTATTCGTACTGCCCGTACTATTATACCTACATGCCCCCGTTTGGTTAAATTATGCTGGGAAAGCCGCTGGGGCAATCTGTTTCTTAGAGTAATTATTCTTATATATAACAATACGTATAAAATTCAATATACTGCGAATCAAAGTCGGGAAAGCTGGTGTAGTTTATTCTCATCTGTATAATAAATATTACACAGCCTTGACCACCGGCAGCTTGTTCAACATAGTAACTTTACTTCCTCAGGTACCATGTACTAAACCCGTTTAGTCATTATATATAAGAGGTCTAGTAATATACGGCCCAATCCTGGGTGCTTCTACTCATTTCTAAGCACTGACTAGTCAGTAATCAGTTTGTATATAGTAAGAATCGAACATCCATATGGACAGCTAGAGCGGTAAGAGAGAGAGAGAGAGAGTAACCAAAGCAGGCCCATATTTATTCTTGTATATACATCTTCTTGCTTAGATATAGCACAGTGGAGCTATAACTATATCACAAGAGGCTCAAGAGGAGTGAGTTAACGTAATCGGTAAGCGAGTGGGCACGGCAAGCGAGTGGGCACCTGCACCCACCCAAACAGCCTTCCATAAAAAGATGAAGCTTATATATACTATATATTAAAGAATTAATATATTTAATTAATATTTTAATATATTAGATATTTTATTTTTATATATCTAATTATATTACAATTACTGCAGTAAGATAATATCTGATAATAAGATTATTTCTTACTAATAACTAATTTTTTAAACTAGCTTTTGTTAATTTAATTAGTTTTATAAATTTTTTTAAATATATTTCTAATTTTATTAATAGTAAGGCTGTTTAAACCAGCTATTTAATAATAAAATCTTTTATTTTTAATATTCTGTTTTTTTAATTTAGTTTATAATTTATTATTTTTCTATTTAAATAAAGCAGTCTGATTAAAGGCGATTTTATATTCTTTTATAATATAAAATAATACTATTTTTATTTATAAAAATAGACTAATTATATATTTATAAAAAATCTTTTAAATATAATTTTATATTTTTATAATTATTTTATATTTTTAAATATTTTTAATATTATTAATATAATAGTAGTACTAGTAATTAAAATAGATTTATAAAACTGTATAATTAATTTATTAAAAATCTTATTTAATTAGAATAAAACTAATTCTGAAATTTTAAAAATATTATAAATAATTAATTATTTAAAAATAAGAGAATATATTTCTAAATATATATTTAAAAAGTTAATTTTATTAATATAATAAATATTCTAATAAATCAGCTGTTCTACTAAACTTTTATATATTTTTTTTAATAATATAAAATAAGTAATATTAAGTAATTAATAAAAATATAAAAAATATAAAAATATATAAATAAAAATAATATTATTTTAATTATATATATTATTAAATTTTATAATTAAACAAAAATTATATTTATTAAAAATTAAAAAATTATATCGTTCTATCCGTCAGTTTTTTAATAAAAAAAATAAAATATTTATAAAGCTAATATAAACTGATATTATTAAAAATCTAACTATTTCATAAAAAATTAATATATTAATTAAAAAAAGATCTTAATATTATATTTTTATATAAACTTTTTTTTAAAATTAAATATAATAATAATATTATACCGGCGGTATTAATATATTTAATTAAAATTATTTATTTTT